GGTGGAGTCTTCAGCTCTCGGACGCGAATCAGATAGCTTGGCGTTTCTTTCAACGTTGAAGTGGGACACGTCGAATCCACTCCCCGATGTCCGTTTCGGACTTTAGTCGTGACTGTTTGGGTTTGGACCATGTTAAGCAACAAGGTTTGGGAGCTGGTTGTTGCCAATCCACTCAGGAAGTGAGATATAGTCAGGTAATAGAGTGCAATACAGGCGCATTCTGGGTTTAATCGGGTTTAGAGTTGGGTAAAAGTAGATGACACAAAGCCCGCATTTCGGGTTAGTCGTATCCTTGCTTTTTCCACACACTGGGAGTTGTCAAATCAACATGTCCCGTAGTTTGGGGTTCAATTGGGAGGGACATAGGTGAACCCACCTAAAGTTCCCACGAAAACAAGGGCACTCACAAATCGTCCGCCCTCTTGGCTTCCACTAGGTTTCCCAGCTAGGTGCCAACTTTTACCGTTTCTTTTTTTGGGGGAGGGTTCCCCCTGCTAAAATAGCCTACAGAAAAAAAGTTGGTATCCGTATTCTAACCTCTCTACTGGATGACCTAGTTTCTTATCCCTGGTGCTTGTACGGGGAATCTATCACACTGGCCAGAGTTGTTCATTTTTTCCGGAGCACACGCAAATGGAGGGTGGGAGGGGCCAGGTTTGTGGCCCCAGCACCCCATTCGAATATATGTTCCCCCCCCCCCCGGTTTTCATGGTACGCCTTGGTGTGTTTCATGGATGGAACACCTCAAAGATGTGCCTGGTTCGAGAAGAGTTTGCTCACCAGAAGAAAGATACGGAAGAATTGCCTTGGTCCTTTAGGTTGCTTTGGTGCATTTTGCTTGGATGTTAGGACTTTAACTTTTTGCCAACTCATGGGTTTTCCATTGAACCACTAAAAGTTTTATACTTTTAGCAGGAGAGCAGAAAGCAACCGAGGTTGGGTTATAGGAACAATGATCCAGACAAGCATCTCATTTAGGGTGTCCTGCCACCATTTCCGGTAGATTTCCCTGCGATAAAACCCTTTGTACCACGGATTCGGGTGCGCCTTTTTTTGTGCCAGCTGTTGACTGACTCATGGGCTGGGGCTGTCCATAGACTGATTTATGATGGGACGGGTGGCCCAAAAAACAAATAAATCGAAGCTCGGATCAGGAGAGCCGGTTTTGGCCCGAACCACCGAGGTGTATTGTTTGGCTTGCCTCACTTGCTGAGTTGGACTTTACACTTTTGGGTTCGGACCATTTCGGAGGGAAATACAAAGGTTGGACTTGTTTTGGCCAATCCACTCGGGAAGTGAGTTGTTGGCCTTTCGGGTTTCTTGCATGTGGGCTGTCCAACAAGCTACTTGCAGAGGGTGTAAACATGTGGCCAAGAACCGAAGCATCAGTGCATCATCCGTTTGGCCGGTCTTTGGTGTGACCCAAAGGCCCCTTAGACCTGTTGGAAATCAACGTGATCGACCTTTAGCGGGGCAACCCAGAAGCGAGCATGGTACCCAGACAGCACCCATAGGTATCTCACTTGCCCAAAAGCGAATCGAGCTGACCTTTGATTTCCCGGGGTCCGACAAGCTGAGGTATAGGCATGTTCCCCAGAGGTATGGGTATAGGTCCGAATCGCATCAGATGAAACTAGTGTTCAAGGTTCCCACAGGTGATCGCCTTTTGCTTGCAGGTCTCCTTTGAATAGGTCCGGATAGGTATACCCCCCGAGTATAGGTATAGGTTAGGAGAACGCTCAGATGAAGCGCCGAGCCGGCAAGCAGTTGCTTTCGGAGGCAGGAGGCACAAGACCTGCTCCAGCGATTTCGTGTTTCACCCGCCGTGCTTATGCGCAATCTCGATTTCTCTGTTGGGCTTTCAGGCGAGTCCCCCCCCCCTTTTGATTGACATGGCTGTTTTTGTTGGAGGGTACCCTGTGTTTGGTGGTTTTGCAAGCAAACCAAAAGGAAGGCCCCCTTTCGGTTTCCAGCTTGTTGGGCGGGTGAGCTTCCCCAGTTCCAGGATTTCCAAAAGCCGACAAAAGCCCAGGAGGAGCGGCTGGTTGTCAAACCGATACTTGAAATTGAAGGGAATGCCAGGGACCCCGCCCGAAACTGTTCTTAAAGGTGTCAATCGTGTCAACCTCAAGTATTCGCACACTGGTGCGTGGTGCCAACACAGTCAGGCCCCAGGCAAGAAGGGGAAGTATGAGGAGCCCAATTGGAGACACATTGGTTTACTCCATAAGTTGCTGCGCATGGCAGAGGCGGAGGGCCAGTCAGTTCGTAGTTCCTGGCCTTTGGTCGCTTGACCTCTTTGCTACCCGCAAAGCAGTTCTGTCATTTCGACACATGGTTGTGAGTCAAAACCTAATTGGTGCCTTTTTGGGGATGGTTACCACTCCACTGTTGGCTGTTTTTAGAAGGCTTTCTGGGTGTTCACCGGAGTACCGGGGTTTTGACTAGCCACATACCTGAAATCTTCATGACCTTTAAACAATGGGGTGACCGCAGGAGAGAGGTGATTGTTTGACCAAGCCGGCGGGCTGTCAGGTACCCCTTCTTTCGTGGTTTGGATTGGTGGTTTGGGGACGTTTCTTCCCGAGCAAGCTCCACCTCGATTTTTTTTTTCCGGCGCCTTTTTCAACTGCCTTTTGATCGGGCTTGTCCAAAGCAACATAAAAGTTGCGCTTCTCATTTGTTCTTTTTTTCCAATTCTGAACCCTGGGGTATTTCGCCTTTCGCACGTGGGATCCATCCGTGCCACGTGATAGCAAAGAGGCTTCAAATGCCACGTGACGCAAGGAAAAAAATGGCCTGGCACACTGGCACACTGCACTTCCAGCCAGGGATGCCCATGTTTTGTTTTCCTCTTTTTGAATAGGGCCCCTTAAAAAAAAAGAAGAAATTGGTTTCCAATTGGTTTCCCTTTAGCTAACCAAAAGAGGGGGTGGGGGGGGGATCAAAATCCAGTTTTCTAGGGGAGCTTCCCCATTCTTTCCAGGGATCCTTCTTTTCAGGAAACCATCAAAAACCCTGGGAGACAGCTGGTTTTTGAACAGAACGATGGTTGAAAATTATGGTTGGAATTAAACCCTTTTGTGTTAATTTGGTTTCCAATTGGTTTCCATTTAACTGACCAAAAGGGGGGAGGGGGGGGCGAATCGAAATCCATGAGAGAGTACAGATCTGTATATCCTGGACCAAGAGAGAATCTCATTGCCGGCCTTGTTGATTGAGAACTCCATGGTAGGTTCGGTCGGTTTGACGCCCGGCAGGGGCATGGAAAGCTGGCGCAATTGCAAGAATTGCCGTTGTGTTGGGCATGGTTGTTGCTGGGAAGCATTTTATATTCTTGCTTATTGTGGTTTAGTGGTTGAAATCCCCACTGCACTGCTAAAACCTTTTTTTTGCTCCCCTGCCAACGTCAACCAAGTGGGGGACTCCACAGTGGTTTTAGATTGGTGGTTTGGGGCTGGCTCTTGTAGAGGGTAGCTGATCCACCCATCCCAAACACCAATCGGAGGGACGCCGCTGACTGCTGGGGTCGCTTATGTTCACAGTCCTGATCATGATTTGCCCAGGGCACTGAAAGCGTGCACCGGTTTGAGGGCACTCCCTGCGGGCACCGGGCCCCGGAAACCAAAAAAAGCGGGAAAACACAGACACGACAAAAACATGTTTATATATATATATATATATATATTATATAAACAACAACAAAAAAAGCGGCCCGACGATCTTTCCCTTCTTTCAATTGGTCCGTGTCCGGGCCAATGATTCCTTTTCCGTTCTTCTGGCCGCGCCTTTCCTTGAGGCTACCCTTTCTCGGGGAAGCCAAGCGGAAGCCACGCAGGTTGGGAGCTCCCAGGCCTTGTGCTTGAAAGGGGGCATGTCTCCTTTTTTTTGGTTGAGGGTACGTACTTATTTTTGGATTCAAAGGGAATCCAGAAGCCATCATAGTGCTTTTTTTTTTCCGGGGGGGATTCCTAAAAGAGTTGGCCGGACCCAAAGCAAGGCATCTTGAGGGGCACAACATCCTGTATGAGTTGAAGGTTGTTTGATGCAGAGGAGACTTTCATAGCAGGTTGCAAAGGCCCGGCCGCTTTTCCGGAGCAAAGACCTGGGTGGCTTCCTTTTGGTTTCCCAAGGCCCGACCGTAGAAAGGGTGGATTAGTCATTTCCCACAGCCCTGCTCGGGGGTAACAGTTTGATAGAATAATGGGGCCGGTTCATAGGCCCATAACCCATGACCCAAGAAGGGTGATGCCAACTTGGAGCTTGTCAGGACCCCACAAAAAGTGGCTTGTCGAGTTTCCGATGTGGATGGCACAGGTGAACTTTGAGGACCTCTTAATGACACGATCGTTCCAGAATTTTCCGCAGAATTGATGGATAGCGGGCCTCGGTGTTTGTTGAGGGTGTCCTTTGTATGGGCTTGGGGGGGACCAGGCAACCATCAATCAGGGCTGCACCTTGCATTTCATCCGTCTCTTCAAAGCGTAGGCCAAATTCTGGGGGATTGTGGGGTGCGTTTTGTGTTTTCATTTTTGTGATTGAAATGGATATGTAAAGGAAACCACGATTTGCGCCCATGTTGTTTCTAAAGAGAACGATGGATGACGAAAATGAGGAAGCAAGCCTTAGAATCATCAATCCGGGCTAATCGCCATATTCTCAAGCCATTGTTCAGCTTACCCTTAGTTTGTGGTTCGGGGATTTGAACCCCAGCATAATTACAACCACAGGGAGAAGGTACCTCTTGGCGTCCAAAGCACCAAAACTCCAAACCGAGTAGAAAGAAGCTGAGTTGTTGGAAGAGGGTCGTCCTTCCAAATGCTCCGCTTCACTCTCCGAGTTGGACTCTAAACTCTTTTGGGTTTGCAGCATGTTGGCATACAAAAGATGACTTCGACCCTTTCTTTATTCTTGGGTTATTGCAACATTCAGAAAAACCTGGGTCCAGGTCGGCGATCTTTTTTCCGGCCGAGTGAGCCACCCCCTCGCCGCTTTGGATCAGAGAGAGCCGGCCCCCGGGCCCGGCGGCGCTCGGCGCGGCCCAGCGGGGCGCGATGGAGGCGGGCGGCACATGAGGTTAGAGGCGAAGTGGGCGTGCGGAGTTTCGTTTTGGGGGGGGACCCCCCCAAAAATCGTCGGTTTCCTCTGGATTTCCTTGAAACACACAAATGAAAACAACATTTCACCCCCAAAACTTTTTAAAAGGGGTAGCTTCAAAGAAAGTCACACTCAAATGAAAACAACATTTGATGGCAACCACCTCAAAATTGCCTGATGGGCATGAGCCCCCGCTTTTTTTTTTTTGCTTTTTTTTTACGATGTACACCCAAGTGTTTTGAATTGTCATTCACTGCCAAATCATCAATCGCATAGTTGCCCTTTGATTCTGACACAAGTTTGGCTGCATGAGTGCCCCACCGCCCCATTCTTGTCATTTAGGCCTTGAGAAGTTGTTCGGAGCGTTTTTTACTCCTACCCGGCTCATGGAACCCCAAAACCCAGCCATTTGCACAGGAACCCCCTTTTTCGGTTCCATGTATTGATTCCCCTCTGCTTTGGCATCCACCAAGCCTTGGAATCTCTCTGCAAGTTGGCCAGGAAGGGAGCGGAGAAAGTCTTGATTAGGGGAGCATGCCACGAGCGAGGTTTTGGGAGCAAACACGGGGGGGCGGGGGGGGGGCCAAGTCTGCAAAGCTTTGACTCTCGCGATCCAGATGGCTTCGGCATTTGGTTTTGGCTTCTCAGTCCCTCGCATTCCTTTCTGCGGACTTAAGTGCCAGGTTTTGATTGTGATGGTTGTTCCTTTTGAAGGGATTCCTTGGTTCATGTTGAATTGTTTGAGATTGAAGCCCTCCTCAAACCATCTATCTTCAGAAGGAACAGGTCATGGCATTTGGACACACTGGCTTAGATTGGGCGATTCGAAGAATGGTTGCAGTGATACTTAAGAAGCTAAGCAACCCAGGCGTCCCCTTAAAGGAAACGACAAGTGACGGTTGATTGGTGTTATTTCCTCATTCCCTGCTGGCACCGGCAAGCTATGGTGCAGCGGAGGCTCCAAGTGCAGCTTTGCATGTCTTGGTCACTAGCTCTTTTACCTCGTGTGAGCCAGGCTACATGATTCCTTTGCTCGCGAAAACAGATACCATACCCCACTTTATATGCAAGAAAAAGCTCACATATACAAGCAATATAAACACATACAACAATATATAATATATAATATAATATGGAATGGTATGATATGATATAGCATAATATGATATAATATAATGTAATATCATATAGTATAACATATTAATATTAAACACTAATAACACTAGTAATAAGAACAACAAAAACAAAAAAACATATGATAGATAATAACGAAAATGCTACTCATAATAATAGTGACAACAAAAACAACAATGATGATGATACATATGTGTTGTATATGTATATGTATAATACATATGTCTATACGTACACAGTTTTGTAGAATGCCCAACTTCGATCACGATGCCCGTGCTCTCCAGTTTCTTGTTCCGCCCACGTCGGATTCATCACTTCAATCCGACTCCGCGAGCCCTCAGGAGGGCGAGGAGGAGGAGGAGGAACATGCGGCCGGGCCGTGGGTGGGTGGAGCCCGAGGGAAGCTGTGCACTGGCTGTACACCAACACAAGGAACAATGAATGGGTGTACTATAAAGACCTGAACAATTGGAAAGACAAGGAAGACTTAGTTTGAGACAAGGAGCAATTAATGGGTGCACCATAGAGACCTGAACAAATATTGCTTGTGCTCCCAAGAAGACAAGGAAGACTTGATTTGAGTCCCCTGGCTGTGGGGATTTTAGTAAGTTCACCCATCCCGAGTGAAACATCAACTAGACATTTTGACCAGCACCTCATACGCTGGGCGAAAGTAGACGCAGTTCCCTTTATGTGGGTAGGTCACGGGGATGACTAAACCCGCATCGGGGGATAGTGCCATCTACTTTCACCCAACTTGTCTTGCCAGGGATCCTTGCGTAAAGAAAGTGTCATTCGGAGAGCAGGAATTGTGGGTGTCTCAGGTCAATGGCTGAAAGGAAGGAGGAGATCAATCTTTTGAGAAAACAAGGTAGGGTATACAGCGGAGGGATCCTTTCCAATGTTCCATCTTGCGGCAAAGAAGGCATGCATTTATCCATGGGCAGAGCGGGCATTTTGTTGTATACAATACGGAAACAAGGGTTCCCTGATGGCACATGAACCTTTGGGTGAGATGTCTTGTTTTGGCGAATGGACTGTTTTTTTAGGCACCCATCGCGGGAGTATTTTTATCGGAAACCTGTGTTGAGACAAAGCCAAATACGACGTGTTCAATCTGCTTTACCTCAGCTCGACGACTCAACCGGTCTTTTCGTCTGCCAAGCCAAACGGCCTAAACTTTTTTCCTGCCCCAAACCCATTCGGTTGAGTGACTGCCTTTCCGGCGGCTTTGCCGGAAAACCTCTAATTGTGGTTGAGGACCAGGCCAGGGACAAAGCCCCGATTTGACGCTCAAGTAGCTGACATGTTGGATGCTGTGGATTCAACGAATTGTCACACTCTCTTTTCACGCAGGGCACACTTTCTGAGTTCCTGGACTTAACACTTTTTGGGAACCTGGAGTCTCCATGAGCCTCAAAAAATGGGGTCATTGCCCAATATAGCGATATAGTGGGGTCATTGACCCCTTTTAGAGGGTCATGGAGATTCCAGGAAGACCATCTTGGTGGCAAAAACAAGTAAAGTGCTTTTGGCCAATCTACTCAGGGAGTGGCAGCGAGAAATCCACAGCGCATCACTTTTTCAACAGCAAACCAAGCCCAACCTGAGTGAACCCCTTTATTAACTCCAGAGCTGTAAATCTATGGGTTGACGAAATGTGGCATGCGTTCTTGCCACTCGGGTCGCAAGCACTGCCTTTTGGACACTTGGGATGTTGAACGTGGTTGTAACAGCAGGCAAGTTGGGGGGGTGGCTGGTCCTGAGTGTTTGCTCTTTCTAGCATTGTTTAAAACTCCCCCCCGAGTTCCTGGACTTTAAACTTTGTGGGAAGACCATTTTAGTCGTAAAGAACAAGGCTTTTTTTCTCTGGCCAACCCACTGTTCGGAAGCGAGTCCAAGGCTGACCAAAGATGAAAAAACCGAAGCCGACCACCCTGTAATCTTTGGTGAATTTTGCTCGGATGTTAGGACTTTAACTTGTTGCCAACTAATGGGGTTTCCATTAAACCACTAAAAGTCAAGCTTTTAGCAGGGGAGCAGAAAGCAGCCGAGTAATGTTCTCTGACTCTCAGAGCGGTGCTCCGAGAGCTTCGATGTTCTTTCTTCGCCCAGTTACAGCGGAAGATGCACCTCTTCCAGTGCTGGAGCGTCCAAGAGCCCGAGCCCTACCGGACCTAGAGGTGGGCAACATGTAATCTACTCGGTCCCCAGTAGTGCCCTTTTACCAACGAGGGTTCCCCTACTAAAACAGACTACAGAAAAAGGGTACCCTTATTCTAACCCTCTGCTGGAGGACCTAGTCTAAGTGGCCAGGTTTCCCCCCTCTACAACCTTTCCACTAGCATGAAAGTGACCAGAGGGTTCCGTTTTAAGGAAAACCGTCTTCCAGGACCGGTCTGGTTCTATGTTGGTGGATGGGAGGGTAGCATCGCACAGTGACCCCTAGAATCATGGCCCTTATATTAGATGTGTCCTTTTTTTCGATGGGCGAAGGCTCATCGCAAAGCGGTCGGTTGATTCTCTTGGCCCTTAGCCACTCACAAAACCCCGAGTTTCCGCAACCATGCACAAAATTATATGTATATATACATATGCATATTTGGTGCTACTTGAAATTTGAGGGGAAGACTGGAAATCGGAAATCGGGAAAGCCCCAACAAAAACCGAGGGTCAGGGGGCCCAGGTATATATGGGTTCCAACTCTTGGAATTTACTGTGCCACAAGAAGCCCCCTGGCTTAGGGACCAAACGGAGCCTGAAAGAAACGTGTTGGCGCCAACTGAGCCAGACCTCTTTGGATCTGCCCAAAAAGTCCATTCAATCATACTTCAGGGACGTTGGGGAGCTTCGGGCTTGGTGTTGCCTTCCGTGTTTTCCTTTTGAACAAATCAGAGTAGCGTCAAGAGAACGATCGGAGCATCAGAGGTGATTTGTTGGCGTTGGGTGTTGGAAGATCATAGCCACGATCCAAACCCAAGGCTTGGAATAGGGAGTTCTCGAAATGGGCCCCCCCCTGTTCGGATGTTTTGGAAGGGACACCAGGACACCAAACCCACCTGGAGGGGCCCCCAGTTTTTTACAACCCAGGACAGCTGTCCTGTGACGCAAAAGTCGATGTACAAAAAATCCCGAGTGTCCAAAAACGCGGCGGTTGGAGGTTGCGGTGCCGAGTCTTCCAAAGCTCACCACGCGTGTTGAGGCATGTACCGTCACCAGCTTTCTCAAAAAGAACAAAACTGAAACTAGGTCCCCCAGCAGTGCCCTCCTTTTACCCTTTTTTTGGGCGGAGGGTTCCCCTACTAAAAGACTACGGAAAAGAAGCTCTACTGGAGGACCTAGGACTGAAACAAGGCGGGTAGCTGGAGTTGGGCGTCCTTCACTGAGTTTGTCGCCTTGAAGCCAACCAACCCGGGGTTCCTCGCAAAAAAAAGAAACACAAAACAAAACACAGCCTACTTGAGTCACTTTTTTGGATTTGGACCATGTCGGTGGTAAACAAGCGGTTCTGCAGCTTGGGTCGGCCAATCCACTGAGGAAGTGAGTTGAACTTGTGTGTTCACTGGCTTTGGCTCAGTCATTTTGAAATCAACCAACAGCGCAGAGGGCGAGCCCTTTTTTCTCCCATGGCTACTTGGCAAGTCGGCTTGCACCCTGCGCTTACACCCACTGAGGACCTTGACAGTTGGATTCTTGTATGGGCTCGCTGGAAGCCATAGTTGAAAAACCGTTCGGAACATTGCTGGCCTGCTGCCTGATGTTTTTGTGGGCAAGTTTGGCACTTCGACGTTCCTTGTCGGGTGGCAACGGTCAACACCTCCAAGTCACCCCAAATGAGTTGAAGGGTCGGTTATTTTGGACATTACCCATTTGCGCTTCGCCAGTATGCCTGGTCATCTTGTATACCAAGAGAGGATCTGAGAAGGTGCACAGTATTCACATGGTCGGAACGTTTGCGGAAGGGGCACGGAAGAAACGCAAACACATCTTGAGGCTCGGACCCGTTCTGAAGACTCTGGGGTGAGACCATGGGAGCAACTTGGAGGAGTCTTGTGGAAGGTGAAGCCCAAGCATCCCAACAAGATTCTAGACGTTCGTATAATATGGCCATGGGTCAAAATCCCAGTTACCCCCCAGTGAACATCCGAATCCAACCACTAAAATTGACTAAAATGGGTAGTGCACCTACCCCAAAATGGTACCCTTGGTTTTGACCCACAGCCATATAGTGTAATTTTGTTGAGGGATACCCAAGAACCACAGCCTGTTTGAACCTAATTGGCGACTCCAGCCATTCGGGGGTATGCGGTTTTGAGGATGCCACTCGAAAATGGGCCTGGACTCAGTGCCTGAGATTGGTTTCCGACTTGAGTCAAATGGGTTTGGACCATATTTGGTAAACTTGCATTTGCTTATAAGAATATGCTGATGTTCCCGTGTTGGTGTTAAAGCGGATTTATCACTACTGGACATGCTGTCTCATTTTTTCCAGAGGGCTGCAAATGGAAGCAAACACGTTCCGACGTTTTCTGGCCACCGCACTCGTCAGGTCCATTGCTCGCTTCTGGCAATTTCTGCGGCTGCAAGACGATCAGCTGGCCATGGACGGGCGCGCCGATGGGTGGAGAAACGGGCGGGGCTGGCGACGTCGCCCAAAAGAAGGAGGCCCTTCTTGCAGGTAGTTGAGCACCTGATTCCCCCAACAAAGAACACAGGTAGAACAATTTGGGGTTACCCACAAATGAATGAGTTAACCCGGCTAGTGGATTGTAACCCAGGTGGCTAGCCACTTACCTTACTAACTGTACCTGATTCCCCGCCGGAGAACACAGGTAGAACCAATCTGGTCAGATTACCCCCAGACGGTTCCGCCCCGTGCCAGGTACGTGGAGTTGAACCTCCTCTTCCAGAAAGCCCTTGGGGAGGATCGTGGGTCCAAGACGACCGAAGCCATCTTCTGGGCTCCTATCTTAAGGATGGGCCATGTGGGTTTCGAGTTGGCCTATTTGTGTTGTCTTAAAGGAGCACCGTTGCGCGTTTTTTGTGGGTCCCGCCTTTAAAAAAGAGCCACAAAAAGGCCATAAAATGAACCTTGCAGAGCGATCGGAACTTGAGGTTTGCACTTGCTTTTGGTTGATTGAAACCGGGGCCTTTTGTTAAACAGTGTATATGTTTGAGGGTAGACTAAAGTTGAGCCAGAATGTGAACATAAAATGTTTTTCTGTGTATATAGACATGGGGCAAGTTAAGCTCACTCCCTGAGTTCCTCCACTTTAGTTGCTTTTGGGGGTTGGAATATGTTGCTGGTAAGCATTGAAAGCTCGGGAACTTGAACTTTTGCCCCTCCACTCGTTCGGAACTCCTTGGTTTTCGCCGGCTGCAGGCATTGGAGCCTTTGCCCTAGGGAAGGAACCTGAGATCAAAATTTGGCGGTGGTCCTAAACGGAATACCCTCAAAAGACACAAGCCGAGGACCTCCAACAAGGAGAGCCAAAGCGGTTTTGGAGCGGTCCCCGAATTGGCACACCCAAACAGGGCTCCACTTTTTGAGCCCATAGACGTCAACCCGCCTCTCCCTTTTGGGGGCAATGAACCATGGGTTTGAGTCTACCTTGCAAACCCTGATTGTAGCTTGTGCGTTTAGCAGGGCTCCTTAAAAGATCTCCATTTTGCAACCATTTGAAACATGTTGCTTTTTCAACACCAGAATAAAGGGAAACCCCCATTTACAAGTTGCAATGTTCAGGTGTATAATGCATCCGGATCCCTGTTTATGTTTGTTCAGGGACCCCCAAAAAATCGCCCGCCCGCTGCTTTGAGTCCAAAGGTTGCAATTCGATTCCACAAGTGCGACGCTTTTCCCTTTCCAGGTCCCCCAGCTAGGTGCCCTTGTACCATTTCTTTTTCGGGGGAGGGCTCCCCTACTAAAATAGACTACAGATAAAAGTCGGTACCAACTTATTCTAACCTCTCTACTGGAGGACCCAGGATTTATAAACCCGGCCCATTATTAGTGCGGTGTTTTCTCCAAAAGTGATGAATCCCCACTAAAAGGGTACACCGTGGTACACCCCCCGATCAAAATCAACCAGGGGTTAACAGTACTGGAGGACCTAGGTTCCCTTTTGCCTTCTGGAGGACTTCCTGCTGGAGCGCGCCATCGACTCTGCGGTGGGGGACTGGAGCGAGGATGTGCAGCCGGGTCAGCAGGCAGCTGCGGGCCAACCGGCCGCCGGACATGTCCAATGTTTGTTTTTTCTTTTTCAAGGGTTGTCTTCTGTTTGTTTAAGCATAAACAAATATCATGCTGGGGCGGGAGGGGGCTTGCAGACTTGAGCATATATTGTTGTTTATGATCCCCTGTTGGTTTGAAAAGGAATCTATCATTGGACATGTGTTCCCATTGTTTTGCCAGGGGGTGCATTTGCAAATGGAAGTTCATGGTGCTGTTCATTTGTTTAACTTGGCGGCTCCCAGCCATCCAGTTCAACTTAGTTGATTTGTTGGTCTTAGGCTAAGGATTTAGTGGTTGGGTTTCAAAATTTAGCCCACTAAAAGTGAGCCCCATCCCAATTTGTTGCATCCTGGCCAGGGTGTGGGAATTGTTTGTCTGGATTGCTTGGATCTTTGGACGTCAACTTGCTTCCATGAATGCAAGACTATTTGGTATGTTCCCCCGTCGGTTTTAAAGAGAATCTATCACTACTAGACATATAGTTTCTCCCATTTTTCACCAGCGGGCGAAAAAACAAACAAACACATGAATCTTTGTCCTTGTGATATGCACTTGGGGGAGGTCATGACTGCCAACAAGTTCGGTTGCGTTGAGAGCCAAACACGACGCTTGCGCTGGCCCTTATCTCAGTTCCCAAGTTTTGTTTTAGACTTGGGTCAGTTTTGAGATAGAAAAAACACGTTTAGAAGTGATAGGATGCTGTTCTCCAAGCGGCACCAGAAGATCAACCTGACGTCTGCTGGGTGAAAGTTCTGTCCGGATTCGCCGAGCAGAAGCGACACCAATTTCAATGGCTCGGACCTGTTCCCCTTCAACCTGTCGGACAACATGTCACTGCAACCCTCTCACCATATTTGTGTTTATATATATATATATGTATGTGTTTGGATATGTGCCAATGTAGTATTATATGCCAAGTAGTACGTGTATTTAGTTGTTTCTTTGGTTATTTATTTGCTTATGTATTTATTGTTGTTTGTTAGCTATGTATTTATTTGTTTGTGCATTCATGCTATTTTGTAAATATATATATATGCATATATATATATATATATATCTATATTCATTCATTCTACCTACCCCCCCCCCCCCTCCCACCCCCCCAACATCAAAAAATATATAAAACTAAACAGAATTCGCAGTTTGACCTTCTCGGAAGAGAGTTTGCGACTTCAACTGAACCGAGCCGAAGACTTCGCGGGCGAAGTGCCAGGCGATGACACAAGAGGAGTTCGCCATGTTCCTCTTCGAGCTGTGCACTCTTTGGTGCGGCCGGAAAGCCCGGCGGGGTTGGGCTGGAAATTGGGGTGGGTGTGGGGTTCGGGTGCATCTCTGTCCTTTTTATTGGTTAGTTTGGTGAGAAAAAGATGGGTTTCGATGTGTTGTTTTTCTATTTGCCAGGTCCATTGGTGGTACCAAGGACGTGAATGCTTTGGAGTGTGTCTTTGGGGTCCCCTTTGACCGCGAATCGACCTGAGGGGACATTTTGGTTTTCTCATGGCCCATGATGCCCATGTTTATTCATGGCCCCGAAAGGTCAACCTTTCATTTCTGGCTGCTTTAGGCAACCGAGTCTCGGGTAGTTTTTTTTTTTTTTTTTTTTTTTTTATGGCTATTTTCGTTCTGTCCCGACACGATTTTCCGGATTTGTCGACCTCATAGGGGTGGGCCTTTTTGAGTCTATCCCCTTTTTCTTACATAGGAAATGAAAGCAACACCGTTTTGCAGGTCCCCCAAAGAAGAGACGCCCAAAAAAAGAAGCAGCAGCTTATCTGACACTCACCTGCCCCTGGTCGTGGGTACTTGGATGTTGGGCCAAGTTAGCAAGTGGTTAGCCACCTGGGTTATGGCCCCCAAGAGCAAGGTTAACCACACTTAGGGGGACGTATCAGTGGGTTATGACTAAGGGTACAAGCAATTTGCTGGCTTGGCGAGTCGAAAACCCAAGTGGGGAAACCAAAGCGAAACCGAGCAGTTCGCAAAGGGTGCGTGTTTTAGTTTGAGACTCGGGGAATTGCTTTGCTGCAGAGTGTTTTGGAACTGCGAATTTTGAATCACTGAACGGATTCCTCTACTTTCGATGTTCGTTTCATGCTGCTAATTGCGCTGCTCATTCAAGCCAAATATTTTAGCCTCTTTCTGTCATTCCTCTTTGGTATTAGAGTTTAGTTGGAACTGGCATGTTAGTCTGGGGCAGGGTAGCCCATATGTGTTTTTTTGTTCACGTCCATCTTGAAGCTTTGAGAGTGAAGATTCACTCTCGGTTTTGTGGGTACAGGATCTGCTGGCTGCCTACGCGCCTTAAGATGCTCCCTGAAAGGCCAAAAGAACTGGATTTGTTTGAGGGAAGATGAAGAGATCACCCTGCCCCTCAACAAAAAAAAATAAAGCAAATTAAGGGGCGGCGTATTTCCCTCAAGGGGTGTACAGCGTTTTTGCCCTGAGGTAAGCTGTCACTTTGGATTTCCCCTGAGTCAACAACATCATTGGTCTACTTCAGTTTGGATAGAGCCCAACTTCCACGAAAAGCAGCCCACTCCGAATCCCAAGTGCTCTTGGATTCCAAAACAAATGCATCCGGAACAACCAAATCCAAATGAGCAACTCCTCCGGGTACATGTGTGAATAATGCGATGTGGCAAATCATGACACGTTTGGGACCCGGCTCAAATCTTCCCAGGTCCTTTTGGACTCCAAAAAAGGCTCGCATCCGCTTCTCAAAGTTTGGTACTCGGAGGTCCAGCCCATGTTTGGGGACACCCTCCCCATTTTGGGGAAACAGATAGCCATTCGGATCCGTTCTCACGGGGGTACTTCTCTGAGGTCCCCATGTCTCCCTGCACGTCTACTTGCTCTTCCTGTGCACGGCGGCGAGCCTAGAGGGCGTAGAAAGCCTATGAAAACTTTCGGAGAACATTCGCAGGTGGGTCGGGGTTGTTTATTTTCGTTTTGAAGTTGGTACCCCGATTTTTCCCGCCGATTAAAGATGCTTGGCGACACTTCGATCTCACCACCGCTTAAGCATGGCAGATCAAACCCAAGTGGATCTCAATGAAAGCTAAGACATGGGCAGCATGTTGGAGGCGAGGCGCCATGAGTGCATCTCCCCATTCACAGGTGGTCCGCTACGTGTTTTTGTTGCAAGAAGCAGGCATTGCAGTCTCATTGCCATGCATCCAAAAGTTGTCCCACTCCCTGAGTTCCAAGACTTTAGTCACTTTTCGGGTTTGGGTTGCCGTCTTAGTTGTTTAGGTCCCCCAGCTAGGTGCCCTTTATCATTTTTTTGGGGGGCAGGGTTCCCCTACTAAAATAGACCACAGAAAAAGATGGCACGCTTATTCTAACCTCTCTACTGGAGGACCTGGTTGTAAACAGAAAGTTCAGACTTGTTTGGCCAACCCACTCAGGAAGTGAGGGGGTGTTGGGGCAATTTGGAATGCGTACCAATCCCTTTGCAGGATGTTTCTTTGCCCAGTCATGGAAGTGCTGTGAGGACCTGTTCACGGGCTGTAAGATTTAGGATCCAGCTTTGCAGCACAAGACTCTGAGTTGTCAGCATCTGGGGCAGAGCCTATTCTCTAGAAAGCCATTTAGGGGCGCTTGACCACATGATTGTAGATATTCACTGGACAATTTCTTTGTTTGGCAGTGGAATTTCGCGACCTAAATCCAGCCCAACTTTGTTGATGGTTTATCTTCACTGCTATTGGCATGTGTTTAGTTGTTCGCTTTTCTGGTTCTGTTCATATTTAGTGGGTTGTTAATAAGACAGCTGCATATGTTCAGCCAAGGCCTAACTATACTGCACTGTTCGGCTAAGTACAACCTGCACTACTAAACTAGCTTTTTGTTTAGAACCAAAGGCCTGAACTTGGTTTGTATCTTTTCACCCTTCCAGGTTGTTTGCAAAGGAAAACCACAAGTACAACAGAATTCCATTGTGGGGGTCCAAACCCTGTATACCGAACTTCACTGGACACTAGTTGACTACCCACCCACCACCCTCCAGCCACCCAGGCACCACCCCCCTCAAAAAGCAACCCAGGATGAGTCAACCTTGGGTTGATTAACAGTGGGTCGCCAACGAGGAAGTCCTTGACTTGGGCGCCCCGCCCAATTTATCTAGGTTCATTCCGGGCCAGCATGCTTGCAAGCTGTTGTAATCCCTGTCCTTTTCCCTGTTCAAGCAGGTAGAACCACCTACTTAAGGCGTTTCCCAACCGTCTCCTTACCTGGTTAGGTTTTTAGTTGGAATCTGGGGGGTCCATTTAACCCACTCAAAGTTAGTCACTGTTAGCAGGAGAAGCACAGCCAAAGGCCGCCAAGAAGTCGAAGGCGGAGGCGAAGGCAGCAGCCCAACAGGCCAAAGCTCTGAGGAAAGCGGCCGGCATCACGGAAGAGGTTGCCCAGGACACGATCCTTCACGAGCTGACCACTTGTCTCAAGGCCCATCCCGCGGCTGCCTCGTCCATCCTCGGGTCCATCAATTGCGGCGCCTGGGACGCAGACTCTGACACGGACGCAAGGCCAAGCTCCATGAGCTCATCGAGATGCTTGCGCCGGGCATGGGCCCATGGCTCCAGGCCCTTCCGCGGAAGACGAAAAAGGAGGAGTTGGCGGAGATCCTCGCGTTCATGATGCACATGTCCGTCGGCGCTCGGGCAATCCCGTCATCGTAGTTTTTAGTTGGTTTAGTGGTTGGGTTTCCGAATGTAACCACACAATTATTATTTTTTAGCAGATCTCATGTGAAAACGCACCCTGGGGGTTATCAAAGTCTGTTTCTGGTGGGTGGTTTCCCAATAACCCATCTACCTGGAGAATCCATGACCCTTAAAACCAAGGGGTTCTGACCTCTTTGGGTGATGACCAACCATTGTTTTAGAGTCAGGCTCCATCTAGAGGGTTCCATTTACCCCACTCAATGTTCGTCACTTTCAGCAGGGGATCCTTTTAGCACAGCCCAGGTACTTCAGACCCACTTCGCTTCCTCAGATTCAGTTCCCCTTTTCTTTTTTTGCTTTTGCTTTTTTGTTGGGCCCCCGTTGTTTTCCACGAACCAGGCAAAAAAACTGTTTTTTTTGGCTGGGGTCCTGGTTCCAGCCAAGTTCGATTCGGTTTCTCAGGCCTTCCTCGCGGTCACGGACCACTCCGGAGCGTTCACCCTGGGCATGAAGCGACTGGAGGAACGCGGAATTATCGGGGTATAGCTTCCATTTCCATTCTTTCCAGGGATTTCTAGAAAGCCTCCGAACACCCAGGGAAAACGGATCCGGTTTTTGGAAAGAACGATGGTTGAAAAGAATGGGGAATCAGCCCCTAGAGAAATATGTCAGACCTCCAACGGGCTGCTTCCTTCGTTCCATTTCTGTTTTGATTATGTCCTTGTTTAGGAGACCCCCCAAAATGGCTTCGGTCTTCCTCTTGGTTTCCCGTTAAGACCACAAAAAGGGGCTACCCTCAAAAACGTCATGCCCATTGGATGCCATTTTGCTTTAAGGGTTTGCCCTTTAAGCTCCATGGCCAGTCGGAGTCTGAGAGAATGTTGATGTTGTTGAACCGGAATCTGAGATCTTGGTCTGTTTACAGATGTGCCAAGTAAAACTGCTGTAATTTTTGAGGGCTCTCAAAAACAGATGGAAGTAAAACTGCTGGAAATTTTTGAGGGCTCTCAAAATTATTTATCTGGAGAAAAAAGGGGGGTTCTGTTACCGCAATACACAACGAGGGTCATTTTTGAGGATGCCACATGGACCAAGCCCACATACTTTGCCTGAACATCTTGTCTTTACATATGCCTTGTGGATGTTTTGCTTCTGCCGTGCTCACCGTTTGGCTTGAAAGCATAGCCGAAGGGGCCTTTCTGTTGCAACGGAACCGCCTCCCCCAATTCCGCGCTGATTTTGTTGCTGGGTTGCGTCGAGTTCCCTCAAAATTCAGCACCGAAACGCTCATGGGAAAGTGAGCCGCACCGGTCAAACGGGGCATGTATTTGCTTTGGCCCAAGGTACCGTGGATGCCCCAAATATTGCAAGTAACCAACCACACTCAACCACAAAACCATGGTGAAATACAGTACCTGCACCCCCCTAAACTTCCCTTAAAAACGGGCTACACCCCAAACATATGGGGTGAAGGATCCAAGTATATTGGAGAGGTCCTTGTTCCGTTTAGGTCACATCCGCCCGCGACATATTTCGACGGGGACTGCCCAGGCACCCTTTGGTGAGGTTTCCTTGGCGGTCTGTCAACCCTGGAGCGAAATAGTTGTGTTGTTGAGCTTCCAGTTTCCCACTGGTTTTAAAGGAATTCTGTCACTACTGGAAATATGTTTTGTTTGTGTTCCTAGGGGACTTAAGCGAATGGAGTCAAGTTGTTTTTGCTTCGTGGCCATCTAACATGATGTTTGGGACTTGGATCCAAGGGATGGTCTGGGCGCCAGGCCAGACATGACGAGTTTCGAGAAGAGGCTTTGGGGAGTGTCCACGGCCTACGCAGCGGTCGAGCCCAGGGCCACGCGTTGCTCGGACACGGCGCGGCAGTTGCTCTGGGACACACCGCCAACAGAAGCGCAGGCTAGCCCAATCTTCTCCAAAGATTTTCCGCTTGGCACAACATGGTCCCCACCCCACCCCACTCCACCATGCACTACTTACTGACTGAGTTCCTGGACTTCTTGTCACGAATCCCGGGTTTGGAGCCAACTTTCCGGACGTTTTCACCCGTCCCTGCGCTCCAACCCATCACTCCACTCGGGACCTGAGCACTCCTCACCCCGAAGCTGCGAGGACGTGGAGCGTTTGCCGGAGACCTTCTTCGAGCTGCTGAACCTGCAAGGCGAGGCTTCCATGCGGTTCCCGCTTTTGGAGAAAAAAAAACGCGGCTCAGACATGGCCCTCCGGAGTGTTTTGTTTTTTTGGTTTGGCGACAGGGGTTGTGGGAGATGTGGCCGCATTTTTTTCCTGCAATTTGCGTGCAACACCCAAACAAGGATGTCCTGTGTTTGGCTCTGGTGGGAATGTGGACCTTTTTGTTTCAATTCTGCCACTTGGGTCACAAAATGAGCCACACTGCCGTATTTCCTGTACACTAACGCTATGGAATGTCCTGATTAAAACCTGTCAGGGCTTACCACCATGGTGGTAGACCTAAGTCCCCCGTTGAAGCTTCCAGGTTGAGCTTTTCTACAGGATAAGCCAGGCAAAAGGTTCCTTTGTCGACCTTATGTGGCTCAAACAATGGTACCCACACAGGGCTCCTTAAAATATCTCCATTTTGCCCATTTGAATCATGGCTTTTTCCACCAAAATTAAGGGACACCACAATTTACAAGGCAACGTTCAGGTGTATAATGTAAGGATCCCTGCCACAATTGCACCTTGGTATATATGCAAGCAAGACTGAAAACTTGCGGAAGCACAGCTGACGAGTTTGAGCCATCCCTTGGGCTCGAGAATTGAGCCGTCCAGGTTGGAGGGGCCAGCCGGCGCCCGAGGCTCCACTGAGCCTTTTCTGGGTGTTCTCATGCGGGTTGGGCTTTCCATTGATTGGGTGTGTCTTTGGGGAGATTCTTTTGGAGTGTGCTGAGGGAAACCAAAAGTCTAGGGGTACCTTGCCCATTCTTTCCAGGCATCATTCTTTCTAAAAAACCACCCAAAGCCCTGGGAAACAGCTGGTTTTTGAAAAGAACGATGGTTGAAAATGGGGAATCAACCCCGAGATCGAGGCCATGGAAAAACTTCCTCATTTTGACTCACACTTGATTGGGGCAGGGAACCGTGGATTTGGCTTCTTCTTTTTTTCTGGTTGTTCTTGAATTGTTCTCTCCGACGTCAGCAGACCTTCCTTGAAAGGAATCTCCTCAGTGAAGGGCTGTGTGGGGTTCCTTGAAACGGGTGCCAAAGGGCAAGGATCAGGCCAACACGTTCGGAAAAAGTTTAGGAAAAGTTGGGGGAAGCTAAGCAACCATGTATGTGATGTGCTGACATGGGCTTCCCTTTGCGACACAGACCGCTCACGCGACACGTTTTCTGGGGCCCTGGCCCCAAACTGCCTACCACGTTTGCAGCGCAGGCCTATTGATGAGCAGACAAATCTCAGGCATGGCCCTACTTGGAAGTCCCTACCGTTTGAAGCTTCCAAAGTCCATGGATAAAGATTGGTTTGGGTGACCGATGAGTGGGTTCACACCAGTGAGTTCCTTTCGGATACGCATAACGATTTCAGTGAATTCGATCGGAACACATTTGTTCGAACCGCTTTCTTCGAAAGGGACTTTCGACGGTTTCAGCATCGCCCAGGCTCCACGAAGCAGAATCAATTCTGCAACCTCCTTCTTTAGGCTACCTGGATGAACGAAAAATTGCCATTTGACCCCTTAATTAATCTGGGTGATGAGTCCATTGTAGGGTCATGTAGACTTCAGGTAGTTTTTTCCCTCAACCCTCAAGATTCCAACTTAAAAATTGGTTATTGCTCAACCTCTGGTTGGCGGATTCCTTTTTTGGTTTGTTTGATAGTTTGGGGGTCCAGGTTCAAGGTTTTGGGTAGAAAGCAAACACGCGTCCGATCTTCACGGGTCCCGTCATAATGTTGACCCAGGATCTAAGTAGAACACGTCCCATGAAAAGGTGGGGGTGTTTCCTCCAAAAGTGGTCCGAATTCAACCACTAAAAGGAATTGGACCCCTCCCGATCAAAGTCAACCAGGGGTTCATGAATCCGGGGTTAACATTGTGTCCTCACGTAGGCCGCCACCCTGGCAGCGTGGCTTCGGGCCAATGTCAGCACAGAAGCGCAGCAGGACGGCGCATGGGGCGGATGGATGGGACAGGAGGGGTGGGTTGCATGGGTTGGTCGCAAAATCGAGTATCTAGGTGCCCCAGGTGCCCTTGTACCGTTTCTTTTTTGGGTGGGAGGGTTCCCCTACTATAATAGACTACAGGAAGAAGTTGGTACCCTTATTCTAACCTCTCTACTGAAAGACCCAGATGGTGCCCTCAAAATAGGATATGGAAGCGTCAGAATAGGACACGGAAGCCCCGAGTAGCAAGGGCTCCCTTTCGGTTTGCCTTCAAAGCCATCCAATCGTACCCTTCACCTCAAAAGGAACCACAGCCTGGCGATTCGGTGTGACTAAGTCGTCCCTTTGAGAGGCCTTTTGGAAGCATGTCGCTTGGAGTCTCCATGACGCGAAATAAAAATGGGCAATCCATGAGCCTCCAGTTCAATTTTGCCTGGAAAAGGTCGGCCGACTTCCGAGCTTTTTGCTCTGCTTGGGTTGCGCAGGTTACTTCGTGGCGAGCGAACGCCATGGTCCTTGAATCCAATTCTTATTGGCATGGGAATCATTTTCCCCAATGCGGGTTTGTCTCAAAATAGGGGACTGTCAAATTGGTGGTTTTCCAGTTGTGTCCCTCCAAACCATCCTAAAAGGGGAGCCTTCAACAAAAAGTCACACCCGGTCCAACATGGCGGGCTGCTGTTGGCTTCTCCTACGGGACGACTCAAACGCGACAAAAGCCATGAGCTCGGATGGCCGAGGATTTGAGCTCAAAGACGTCCCGAGTTGTATTTTCCACTCGCACGCATACACAATCAGTTTCAATGGGGATCGATACCCCTGAAAAGCGGTACACAAATCCAAGCGCCTTTCGATGTACGGGTCCAAAGCCACACATAGCTTGGCGCCGGTTGATGTCGGGAGATTTACCCTTGTTTTGGAGGCCCACCATAGTAGGTTCAACCGCCTTGGGTTTCAAATGGGTTACAGTAAGGGTTCTCCAGAGCTTGTAAGGTTTGTAGAACCGAACGTCAACGGCTTGCTTATTTGGCGGAGGCAGCAGTGCAGCACGTGCAGCGACAGGCAGGTTGTTGGATTGGCGGGGGGCTTTGGGGTGCTGGAAGCTGAAAGGATGACAGATGGGGGTGTCTTCCTTTACCGGTACCCTTTTGGGGTTGCTTCAACGGGGAACTAAAAGGACTCCACCTATTTTCACCGGCCTCCCGATTTTAAGACAACCCCACATGTTGATTTAATGTCACATTTACCGGCTTTAGGAGATCTCTCTGTGAAACAGGTGGTGTGGTTTTGGAGCTTACTGTCCCCACTATGGCAGTTGCACTGACGGACTGAGGGCCCTAACCTGCCAAAGTTGCAAGGAGCCCCACCCCCTTTAGAGGCGGTTCCCTACTAAAACATGTGTAGCCAGATGAATTAGAATGGGATTGCGGGCCAAGGGGATGAACTCTTTGAGTACACGTTTCCGATGATGGCCTTGTCATCTTTGTCCCAGTCGTTTTGCAAGTTCCCATTTTATTCACCAGCTTCCCTTTTCAAGCCAACACTGAACATCGAGATGTTGCCCCAGCCCAAGACCTCATTCTTTGCGGGCCTTAGCGGGTCAAAGGCCCGCAACAAATCGAGACGTTTGGGCTCCAAGGGTTGCATACGTCACTTTCCAGGGCTGCCACGCCAGCGAGTCGCGAGCGAGTCGCGAGCGAGTCGCGAGCGAGGTCTTCCAGCTGACCCACGATGCCCGCGCCGCCTTCCTCTTCCAAAGCGAGGCCAGGCTTGAAGGCTTCAAGGCTTACGCCGAGAAGAGAATGCGACTGCCCAAATTGCAACTTTTTACCCCACGTCCTGTGGTCTTGGACTCTAGTCGCTGTTTGAGCTTGGACCACGTCAGTGGGAAATACAACCTTCATTATCTACGGATTGATTCCCCAGTATTTTCAACCATTGTTCTTTTGAATAACCAGCTGTTTCTTCTTGGTGTTTGATGGCTTCCTGAAAAGAAGGATCCCTGGAAAGAAACGGGGAAGCTTGCCCTAGAGATTAGACCTTGGTTGGCCAATCCACTCAGGAAGGGGGTTGAACCTGCCATCCGTTACAAAACTCTTGGCAAGGATCAGTCTGGCGAACATGTTACGGACAGCTATGGAACATGAGCATGTCAACTTGGCTAGCAAGAACTTGCTGGGTTGGCTTCGACTCGTCATTTCATTCATTCCCCTTGCCAACAAACAATTGTCAGTTTGGGATTTGATCTGCCGATTTTATGGCGACACCTCGGGTAGGACGAGCCATAGGCCCTTTTCTTGGGGGTCCGACCTATTGGTTTGGTTGTTGGAATTGTATAAATTGCACCCCAAGGGTCCAAGGACTTTCTAGGTACTCAACCACTTTTGACCTCCCAAAGAGCATTTGTTTCAAGGGATACGAGTGGGGTGGGGGGGGAGATTCGGCTGTCCATTTTCCATTGACTTTGGGGCACCGGAGGAGAACCCGCCTGGTGCGCAGCTGCTGGACTTGGTCAAGTCTTCCACGCAGCAGCTCGCGAAGGCTTCCCAGTGGGGTCCACTTGTGGTTATTTTAACATTATTTCAAACATGGCTACCACATAATTTCTTTAAATGATTTAAACAATGTGAGATTGAAATATCGGTTTAAACAGATTTCTGTTGTTTTAAACTGATTTATGCGCCTTTTTGAGGCTACCACAGAATCCTTTTTGGGTATGTTTGAAAGGGAAGGCACAAGAAAAACCAACGCCGATTTTTTTTTGGGGGGTCCAGTTCCTGAAAAATAGACGCACCCTTATGTTGCCCTTCCCAACCGAAGGGGGCTTTTCAGAAACGCGCAAAAGGGTCACCCCAAATCAGCATGGCTTGGAAGAGGGAAACCAAACGAGCTTTCCTAAAATGCTTTCCATTGAGGTGGTTTTCAACATAACCGTTTCGGAATGGGACAATTCAGTGAACACATGTTTGGATTTTCCATGTTTTGAGAAGGCCGATCAAACACAGTATGATGGTTTGCTAAAACAAAAAAACATAACATCAAGCACCTACAGGGTCATTGCACCCTCTCCCACCAAACTAAGACAGAAACCAAGTGTAAGATTCAAGATCATTACCTTTTGCAGAGGCCATGTCTACAGTGAGTTTCCTTTTCATGGGTTGCGAGTTACACCCCCCTTAGGAGGATCCGGCACTGCTTACTCTGTGTTGCTTCATGCGTTTCGTCAGAACTGAGCATTTGCATGTCAGTTGAGAACCAACAAAAGTTGGCCACTCCTATGTGACAGCGGCATTAGGACGTGGTCCTATTGCCCGTGGCATACATAGCCGTGCCCAAACATTAGTCATTTCACAAGGCGGTGCGTCTTCCCGATTGTCGCTTGTAGGCTACATAAACCTCAGTCCTGAAGGGTCCAAGTCTTGTGAGGATGCACGTTGACCCCCAGTACATCCCTCGCGTCGCGTGTGTTCGCCTTTGGCATCCTTTGGCTTTCGCCAGATCAGCAAGAGCACTTTGCCCACCGTGGTGGATGCGCCAGAGGCCTAGGGTCGCTCTGAGAGATGACGGCGGACCCCGTTTGTTTGACGCGTGGATGCTTCGCGTCCCACCTCCCGAAAGCACGCAGGAAGTGACTTCTCAAGACCAATCCGTTGGTCAAGGACCACAGTGGAGTCAGATCGCTCCCCTCTGGGATTGTATTGGTTTACTTCTGTATTGTCAAGACTCGGTACGAGTCGTGGCCGAACTGCTGTAAGGCAGTAGACGCTGGAGGGCAGGGTGCAATTGGGTTTCTCTTTCCTTTAGTGGACCCCCCAAACTGGCTTTGTGGTTCCTTTAGTTGTCCCTTTAACACCACAAAACAAGGGTACCAACTCAACCAAAAACAGTCGAGCCACCTGGGCTTCCCTTTAAAACCACCCAAAAGGGGTAATGTTGACCCCGGATTAATACACCCCGGTTTATTAATATGGGGGTGTTCCCCTCCAAAAGTGATAAATCCCCACTAAACCCAGGGACACCCCCATATTAGTAAACTGGGGTTTGTTAATCCGGGGTCAGCATTACCAACTCAAAAAACAGAAAAGGAGAAAAGACGAGCCGCCCAGGAAGTCCCCGAAAGATGCGTGGGAAGCCACCAAGCAAACCCGGCTCTCCGAGGCCGGCCAAGCCAGGCACACGGAAGGTGGAGGTGTCACCGCCGGAGGTGCAATGGATCGATCCGGCGAACGCAACATCTCGGGGCTAATGGAATAGACTGTAGCCTCGGTTGGCTTTGATTTTTGGCTTTCTCGAGTTTCTTTTGGGCTTCTTGCGGCTTTAGTTGGTTTTGTCTTTTGGTCTTTAGTTGCTTTGCCTAGGAGTCCAAGACCGAATTCATTCTATGAGGCCTTTGCGGGGGATAGGCATCAAACAAAAACTTATTAGGCATCAACAAAGACTTATTAGGCATCAAAAAAAACTTATGCTCATTCCCATGGGGGGAAGGAAGGAAGGAAGGAAGGAAGGAAGGAAGGAAGGAAGGAAGGAAGGAAGGAAGGAAGGAAGGAAGGAAGGAAGGAAGGAAGGAAGGAACCCCCCCCAACCACCCCGCTAATTTGTAGAAGGTTGACAGTGATTAACGCACCGTTTGCTGAATCATCACTTCCTCGATCATCATCACACTTTGTTGAATCATCACTTCTTCGAGCATCATGCGGGGGGCTGCCGCCCCCCCCAACCCCCCTGCTGATGTTCAGAATGATTACAGAGACTACCGCACCCTTTGCTGAATCATCACTTCTTTGATCATCACCACACGTTGTTGAATCATCACTTCTTCGAACATCATGGGGGGGGCTGCCGCCCCCCCCCAACCCCCCTGCTGATTCGTAGAATGCTTACAGAGCTTAACGCACCCCTTGTTGAATCATCACTTCCTCGAACATCATGGGGGGGGCTGCCGCCCCCCCCAACCCCCCCGCTGATTTTCAGAATGTATACAAAGCTTGACGCGCCCTTTGCTGAATCATCACTTCCTCGAACCATCTCTCTCTCTCTCTCTCTCTCTCTCTCTCTTCTATTCTTTCTTTCTTTCTTTCGTTCTTTCTTTCTCGCTCTCTCTCTCTCTCTCTCTTTCTCTCTCTCTTTGTTTTCTCCCTTTTTCTTCATGTTTGTATCTCTGTATATTTTTCTTCACTGCTTGCGAAAATGATGCGCCTGCGTCAAACTCTGCACCGTACCTTGCGAAAGTGCTGCGCCTGCCGCGAAATTGGTACCTCTTGCGAAAGTGTTGCGCCTGCCGCGAAATCTGGACCGCACCTTGCGAAACTCCTGGACTTGCCGCGAATCTGTACCTGACCTTGCTAAAGTGCTGCGCCTGCTGCGAAATCTGTACCTGACCTTCCTCACCCCGCTGATTTGTAGAAGGTTGACAGTGATTAACGCACCCTTTGCTGAATCATGACTTCTTCGATCATCATCACACTTTGTTGAATCAGCACTTCTTCGAGCATCATGCGGGGGGCTGCCGCCCCCCCCACCCCCCCGCTGATGTTCAGAATGTGTGCAAAGCTTCACGCGCCCTTTGCTGAATCATCACTTCCTCGAATCGTCTTTCTCTCTCTCTCTCTCTCTTTCTCTCTCTTATTCTTTCTTTCTTTCTCGCTCTCTCTCTCTCTCTTTGTTTTCTCCCTTTTTCTTCATGTTTGTATCTCTGTATATTTTCTTCACTTGCGAAAATGCTGCGCCTGCGTCAAACTCTGCACCGTACCTTGCGAAAGTGCTGCGCCTGCCGCGAAATTGGTACCTCTTGCGAAGGTGTTGCGCCTGCCGCTAAGTCTCTCTCTCTCTCTCTCTCTCATTCTTTCTTTCTTTCTTTCTCGCTCTCTCTCTCTCTCTCTCTCTCTCTTTGTTTTCTCCTTTTTTTGATGTTTGTATCTCTGTATATTTTTCTTCACTTGCGAAAATGCTGCGCCTGCGTCAAACTCTGCACCGTACCTTGCGAAAGTGCTGCGCCTGCCGCGAAATTGGTACCTCTTGCGAAGGTGTTGCGCCTGCCGCTAAGTCTCTCTCTCTCTCTCTCTCTCTCTCTCTCTCTCTCTCTCTCTCTTTCTTTCTTTCTTTCTCGCTCTCTCTCTCTCTCTCTTGTTTTCTCCTTTTTTTGATGTTTGTATCTCTGTATATTTTCTTCACTTGCGACAATGCTGCGCCTGCGTCAAACTCTGCACCGTACCTTGCGAAAGTGCTGCGCCTGCCGCGAAATTGGTACCTCTTGCGAAAGTGTTGCGCCTGCCGCTAAAGTGCTGCGCCTGCTGCGAAATCTGTACCTGACCTTCCTCACCCCGCTGATTTGTAGAAGGTTGACAGTGATTAACGCACCCTTTGCTGAATCATCACTTCTTCGATCATCATCACACTTTGTTGAATCATCACTTCTTCGAGCATCATGCGGGGGGCTGCCGCCCCCCCCCCAACCCCCCCGCTGATGTTCAGAATGTTTACAGAGATTTCCGCACCCTTTGCTGAATCATCACTTCTTTGATCATCACAACCCGTTGTTGAATTCACTTCTTCGAACCCCCCAACCCCCCTGCTGATTCGTAGAATGCTTACAGAGCTTAACGCACCCCTTGTTGAATCATCACTTCCTGGAACATCATGGGGGGGGCAGCCCCCCCCACCCCCGCTGATTTTCAGAATGTGTACAAAGCTTAACGCGCCCTTTGCTGAATCATCACTTCCTCGAATCGTCTCTCTCTCTCTCTCTCTCTCTCTCTCTTTCTTTCTTTCTCGCTCTCTGTCTCTCTCTCTCTCTCTGTTTTCTCCCTTTTTCTTCATGTTTGTATCTCTGTATATTTTTCTTCACTTGCGAAAATGCTGCGCCTGCGTCAAACTCTGCACCGTACCTTGCGAAAGTGCTGCGCCTGCCGCGAAATTGGTACCTCTTGCGAAAGTGTTGCGCCTGCCGCGAAATCTGGACCGCGCCTTGCGAAAGTCCTGCACCTGCCGCGAATCTGTACCTGACCTTGCTAAAGTGCTGCGCCTGCTGCGAAATCTGTACCTGACCTTCCTCACCCCGCTGATTTGTAGAAGGTTGACAGTGATTAACGCACCCTTTGCTGAATCATCACTTCTTTGATCATCACCACCGGTTGTTGAATCATCACTTCTTCGAACATCATGGGGGGGGCTGCCGCCCTCCCCAACCCCCCTGCTGATTTGTAGAATGCTTACAGAGCTTAACCCCCTTGTTGAATCATCACTTCCTCGAACATCATGGGGGGGGCAGCCCCCCCCACCCCCGCTGATTTTCAGAATGTGTACAAATCTTAGCGCGCCCTTTGCTGAATCATCACTTCCTCGAATCATCTCTCTCTCTCTCTTTCTTTCTTTCTTTCTTTCTTTCGTTCTTTCTTTCTTTCTCGCTCTCTCTCTCTCTCTCTTTCTCTCTCTCTCTGTTTTCTCCCTTTTTCTTCATGTTTGTATCTCTGTATATTTTTCTTCACTTGCGAAAATGCTGCGCCTGCGTCAAACTCTGCACCGTACCTTGCGAAAGTGCTGCGCCTGCCGCGAAATTGGTACCTCTTGCGAAAGTGTTTCGCCTGCCGCGAAATCTGGACCGCACCTTGCGAAAGACCTGCACCTGCCGCGAATCTGTACCTGACCTTGCTAAAGTGCTGCGCCTGCAACGAAACTGTACCTGACCTTCCGAAAGTATTGCGCCTGCCACGCAATCTGTACCTGACCTTGCGAAAGTGCTGCGCCTGCTGCGAAATCTGTACCTGACCTGCGAAAGCATTGCGCCTACCTTGCGAAAGTGCTGCGCCTGCCACGAAATCTGCACCTGACCTTGCGAAAGTTCTTCGCCAGCCACGAAATGAATATGTTTTTTTTGATCCCCTTTTTTTTTATTCTCTGATTTTTTCTAGTAAATCAATGAGAATAAGTTTTTGTTGATCCTAATAAGGTTTTTTTGTTCTTCAGAAATAAGGCTTTTTTGATGCCTAAACTGATTTTTTGATCCCTCACCCCCTTTGCGGGGTCAAAGGTCCCTCATAGTTTCCCTGTCTTCGGCCCCTACGGTGCGTACCCGCTCGTCCTTTTTTTGGTTTCATGGGTAAACCGCCTCGCACCATTTCCAAGTCACCAATTTGAGGGAAGCTGAATTGGTGAATTTTAGAGGGAACACTGCAGGGAGAACCCTTACGCCATTTTGGGGGGTCGCCTATTTTAACACACACCCGTATGTTGACCCCGGATGAACAAAGCCCTGTCATGTTTTCTTTATTGGGAGGTGTTTTCTCCCAAATGGATTTTCCAGAAAACTCCCCCGCAAGTATTCTGAGGCTCTCATGAGATGGTTCTACCTGGCTCCATAAGGCTTAGCTCTTGTAACCATGCTGGTAGAACCAAATTCAATACTGAATAGGCTTGTGCGCTACGCACATACACGGATGATATTTTATGGTCTCCCCCCCGGCCCACACTTCAGCACGCGGGTCATGTGGTGTGCGTTTGTTTGCGTGTGTGTGTGTGTGAGCAACTATCTCTCCATACACAGATACATACATCATATACACGCATAGGTACACACGTAATTATGTGTATGTATATATAAACATCCGCTTTTGCCTTGCCTCTTCCTTTCGAGACATAGGGGACGACACCGATTTTGGGGGCATTGGCGATTCGGGATAGACGAAAAAGTTGCTTATCTACCAGCTAGCAAACAGTCCTCCAAGACTATTTAGGGATAAACAATCTAGATTACCCCAGATGGCCAAGGTTTGGCGTGCTGATCTCTCCCAGAAATCACCCGGGTTGGCAAAGTTGAAGTATCCCAAGAGAAATGTGGCTTCGCATCCTTCTCATTTCCTAACACTTTAGTCACTTTTTGGGTTTGGGCCATTTTAGCAGTAAACAAAGAAAGCGCTGGCCAATCCACTCAAAATAAGCCTTTCGTCTTCCTTTGCAGAAACACTTTGGAGTGTCCTAGAAGATTGGGGGGCACCCGCTGAAGCGTAGTTGTTTCAAACCAGAAGGACACCAACCCTTCTTACGGCTCCATTGTCTATCTCTCCGCTGGTTTGAAAGGCCAACAGGACAGCTGCAAAGGGCCTTACGCTGTACAACCGCGTGGGCAAGTTTGCTACTGCAATGATTGCTCGCGCCTACACTGCGATCTGGACCAGAAGCCGCTTCACCAGAAGGTCCTGGCATTCACGCCTGCGGCTGGATGGCCTGGCGCGCAAAAAAAACACAAAACATAAGCTGCCATGCCAAGGCCCCGGGGCCCAAGGCCCCCTATGTGGCACGCAAGGCGGAGCTCAGCTCCACACAGCAGCTCTCATTTGTGGAGCGCTTTCAGGAGACACTGGCCACTCAGTTTGACAAGGGACATTGCGATGGTCCTCCACGACAACTCACAAATTCCGACGGATCACTCCACTAGCCCGGGACACTAAGCATATAAAGCTGCAAGTTTGAAGTGTTTTTGGGGTACTTGCCACTCAGGAAGTGACACTTGATTATTCCTTTTCCTGGATGCATTCCCTTGAAGAGGATTCCAATTCTATGTCGAGTCCGATTTGTTCCTTACATGAAATGGCGGTGGGTTATTTAGAGGGTGCCATTTTCCACCTTTGCTGAAGGGAAGCGACAAGGAAACCCCACCCATGTGAGGGGTCAGCATTCAAAACCCCAAAAAGGGCCAGCTTTGTAGGTTCTACTATGGTGAGCAACAATCAGTTGCCCCAATTGCGGCCGACCCATTTCCTGGTTGAAATCTCCAACACGTTCGATTTCTGTCCCTGTTGGTTCTGTATGCTAGCTGACTGTTATGGGGTGCACTTGGATGTTCGGCCAACTTAGAAAGTGGTTTGGCCACCTGGTCAGAACCCGCTGATAGCAGGGTTGTCTCCACTTACAGGTACTTATAAAGGGGTTATCACCTAGGTTACCAACCACCTCTTATGCCTGAGCCCCCCGAGCAGAGTGTCGGGGCTTGGCGGTGTGCAGGTGTCGGCGCTGGCATTGCGAAGCCGCACGGATACCCATCGGATCCGGATTCCGGATGGGGCGGGCCAACGGGACGTCCAACTCCAAAAGGAGCCACATCCAAGGTGGTTGGCTTTTTCCATGGTTTCCATTGAAACCTACAAAAGGACAGAACTTGGGGAAGAATTGCAAGGGGGGGTGGTTATAGTGACTTTCCCCTGGCTTTCAGAACCGGAAAAAAGGGAACCCCGGTAAATAAGTCGAGGGCCTCCAGCGCTCGCCTATCCACTGCTTTGTGGTTCCAGGGATTTTCGACATGGAAACAAGCAGGCAAATCGGGGGGTACTGGACAGAAATCCCACGCAAACCATGTAGAACTGAGGGGCTCCTCACAAAGTACTTTGACCCTGACATTTTTTTGTTCGCACATAAGTGTGTGAACTTATAGTCATTTGTTTTTTTATGCCCGATGGCGGCTTCCCTTGCGTTGGTTATAGATCACGTCCGCGGGGGCTCACACAGCGAAATAAAAGCAAAGGACCAGGTCTCCCTAAGTATCACCCAGACTTTCAGCAACCGGCGATTGCAGGCACCATTCACCACGGCGACGGGAAGGGTGCCACCACGATCCTCTTCTGGCCCTCATTCACCACGGCCAAGAACAGCAACGTCCGGAGAAACCAGACACGAGCTCGTCTGTCCGAAAGAAAGCCTCGGAGAAATTGGCGGGAGAATGCGCGTCTGTGGCACGCGGCGAGAACTGGTGTTTTGTTTTACCAGGCCCGGCTGTGGCTGGTTGGTTGGTTGGTTGGTCGGTCGGTCGGTCGGTCGGTCGGTTGGTAGGTTGGTAGGTTGGTAGGTTGGTAGGTTGGTAGGTTGGTAGGTAGGTAGGTAGGTAGGTTGGTTGGTTGGTTGGTTGGTTGGGCGGCCACATCCCCAGCATCACCTGCCTCGATTTGGTGGCGAGTGAGTGTTGGGCAGTTGGGTGGGTCTAAGGTTGATTTTATCTCGGGATTTTTGGTTGGCTTAGGGCTGGCGTGTGCTAGGTGTGCGGTTTGGTGAAAATGCTCACCCCATCGATGCGCCCAGATGCACCCAGTTGGTAGATGTAGACGTTGTTCCTTTGAAAGACCCACACTCGACCTTGAAATTTTAGATGTAGCGGGGGTGTCCAAAACAGAGGTCCTTTGCCGGACCCTGGTTTCATGTTGCCGCTAGGCGGATCCTACTTTTGGGGTCTATCCATCCATCCTTTTACCCCAACGCGCCCTGAACGGCAATGCGGTTCGGTGAATGGTATTTGTATCACCGACACATGTTTATTTAAGATATCCGTTGTGTCAAGAAGACCTTGGTATGTCCGCAAACATGTGCATATATCTATGCATGTTCGGGGCAAGGCACGGGGCACGTGGCCCCTCCGGGGTCCTTGAAAGCATGACCTCCATTCAAACCCTCTCCCAGCCTTTATGCCTTGGACCCAGAAAGTCGGTCCCTGGACCTAGTGTTAGCTGATGGCTTCTCCAAGTCATCAACCCCATTATTTTCCAACTTCCCGGGTCTGAGGTTGGTCCCGTTGAATTTGCTTGGATCTTTGGACCTCTTTTTTTTGGGGGGCTGAAGCAGGGGGGGAGACCCCCCGAATTGGACCCACAAAAAGTTAAAGCACGTTTGCAGAGGGGTCCTTCCACCAAGCAAGGTGGAGGTGCTTTTCTCTTGCATTCCAGTTGGTTCAAGTCCGAGCCGGCGCGAAGAGGCCAACTTGGTAAGTTATTCACCGAGGTTGTCGCTGATCCTCTTAGTGAGGACAACCCTGGGTTTTAACATGTTGTAGCCCAAATACTGTAAACAACAACCGAACTCGGCTACGCAAAAGGATGCATAAATACCTTAGCCTGGTTGTTGACCCTGTGATGTTAGACCATTGTTACACTTAGACCTGTGTTTTGTTTCTTCTGCTTTTGTTCATATATATATATATATATAATATTATATTTGTTTTATTTCTTCTTTTTTTTTCCGGGGGCTTCTTTCTTGCTGGTTCTCAGCAGGAAATGAGTTGGAATGACCCCTATAAACCATCCTGCATGGTTTCCTTTAAGGGAATCCCTACCTTCATTCCAAACCCTGGGTCATTCCTACCTATCGCGCCAGCAACTGCTCTAGAAGGTTGAGTTTTCTAAGTCAACAGCAACGCAGCTGTTTTGAGCGCGTGTTGAGTTTTTCCCATTCGAGACCAGGCGCGCGCAGTCAGCCTCCCCAGGGGCCTTGGTCGGGCACTCGACAGGGCTTGAGGCGAAGGGTGTCGGGCCCAGGAAACCAAAAGGCCACCCTGGCCATTTACTTCGTATCCTATCTTGAGAACGCGTAGGCGTGACACCCCTCGACTGCCTTTAGTTGTGCCCTTTTTCGGGTGTTTGGGAAAACAGACGGCACTGGCCCCAGCTTGATCCTAACCATTTATCAGCTGAATCGGTCTCTCAGAAGGATACCCAGGGTCATGCTTCCTTCCCACCAAGCAAAACATGTAGTTATGCCTTTGGGTGACGTTTGGTTGAAAGTAGATGGCCCGGGTTTTTGTTTGGCTCTCATTTATCAATCTGCCCATCCATGTTTTTCCAAGAGGACACCTCAATCAGCTCTCCACTTTACCATCTTTCTCATGGGACACCTAAACCTATCTGCGCCTGAGGAAGCATAGCTTTGGTTTTCTTTGCCAGCGAAGCGACAGATGGCGTCTGAGCTCCCGCGGAGAAAAAATGCTGCTGAGGCCAGAGCCAAAGCCGGCGGTGGAGGCAGAGACTCTGTCGGACCCAGACCTCCAGGTTGCTTCCCTACGGCCAAGTGTTTTTTTGTTTTTAAGCGAAGGGTCGCCTTTTTGGGTGTTGGTTTAAAGGGGGGCCAAGCACCTGACTGGTCACTTATGATTATGTTTGATTGGCGAACATAAGTATTGTGATTCGCCCAGAATGTGGACTCCTCATCAACGTCCCTTGACACCGAAAGGATCACTGCCACTTGTTGGGGGTCCCTATTTTGACACAGTCTGAGGGGATCATTTCCATCATTGGTACGGTCCTCCAGATTAATTCAACCCTCAGCTTTGTATTGGTGTGTCTTTTTATTGGGGATCTTCCAAAATGATGGTTTTCCTGTTGGTGTCCCTTTTAACACCACACAAGCTGGGGTACCATAAAAGAAGACACACCCGAAGTTTCTTTTCTCCGAATGGGACCCACCCAACTGCTTTGGCTTTTGGTTTCCCTTGCAATTGAATTATCCTAGGCTCATTGAATACCCTTGCAATTTTTGATTTCCCTTGTGTTGCTTTCCATGGCAGTTTGGTTTCCCTGTGTTTTTCCCTTGGCTCTTGATACAATTGAAATCTTGCTAGAACCTCCCAAGTTTAGCTTGGTGGTGCATTTTTGGAGTGGCAACTCAGTTCCTCACTCCGCCCAAGTTCTTGAGTCAATCAGTCAGCTTCCTTCCGGTAGGAAAAGGGCCACGCTCATACAAGTTCAAGCCATTGGCTCTTGGCTTTGGGCTTTTTTTGGCTGGAGGCCTTTTTTGTAGGTTACCATCTTGTGATTCCAAGACCTGAGTCACAAAGCAGGGATGAGCATCCCTCTTTGTCCTCGGACTTGTTCTCCACATATGATTTGGCAGTTCCAGAAAAGTTCAGACTCCCTACGGGTTGTTTCCTTTTCTCACTTTTTGGGTTTGGGAACCATGTCAGTGGTAAGCAACAAGTTTTTGGAGCTTGGGCCAATCCACTCCTTCGCTTGGTGCGTCCGTTTTCCCAAATCCATCCAAAAGCGGGAGGAACCCACCGCCTCACTTCTGGAGTTCTGTTTCAGACTGAAATGTCACTGTTTGGGCTTGGTTGCCATTTTAGCGGTAAACCACACGGTGATCTGGGGAGCCCTCTCTTTTTTTGCGGACCCTCCACTCGTTGGGAAGTGAGAGGTTCTAGGTCCCTCAGTGCCCATTTACCCGTTTTTGGGGAGGGTTACTGAAGGACCTAATTAGTAGTCACTTTTTGGGTTTGGTTGCCGTTTGTCGGTACACCAAACGGTGCTCGGGAGCGTGCTCTTTTTTTTGGTTGTGGCTTTTCTCGTTGGGAAGTGGGAGGTTTCTCGATCGCGACGCCAGGCGCTGCCCGTGGGTCGTCTTTATGACACCGAGCTCGTGCAGTACCAGGCGACTCCACGATCCGAGATCACTCGTTCGGAGATTTTCGGAGCGGACTGGCAGCGGTCGCTCTTTTGTTTCTTCCTTTTTTCTTCTTCTGTTTCCATTTGCTTAAGAATATTGTTTGATTTACAGAGCGTCTATATGGAATATGTACCCACATTGACCTTCCAAATGGGTCAACTGTTGGTAAGCATTGCCTACATCGATTGTGGGGGTCTTGTCCCTTCTTGGCTTCAAAGGGAATCTATCGCTGGTCCTCGTAAATGGAAGGCCTGGCGCAGCTGCCCTTGAACTCACGGAAGCCAAGCTCCGTTTCGTCACTTGGGCGGGGTTTGGACCATTCTAGTGGCAAGCACCTGAGTGATGGGAAGTTTTTCTTGGCCAATTCAATAATTGTAGCGACGGGTCCCGGACGTTTTTAGAACCTGATGCTCTGAGAGGGTGCTGTCGTGCACTTCCCCCACGGTGTGAGTTAGACATGTCCCGGGATAAGTATTTTCTTCCCTTGGAATTCCGCCTTGGCTCCCTCACAGTCCACGCTTGTGTCAGGGTAAAGTTTGACATGTGACTATGTCCCCCAGCTAGGTGCCCTTTTGCCGTTTTCATTTCTGGGGGAGGGTTCCCGTACTAAAATAGACTACAGAAAAAAGTTGGTACCCTTATTCTGACCTCTCTACTGGAGGACTTAGGTGAGCCGCAATCAACACCGGGCAGTCCCTCAACTGTCGCTCACAAACCCGGGCTTTCATTCTGGCGCGGTCGACCTTATCCCAAACGAGGCCCTTTGCAGCCGGGGGACCCAGGAATTCACCGGCCGAATGTGATTGCATTCGACAAGGTACCTATGAAGATGTCGGTCTCAGAGAAAAACAGCAAAATCAACGAGATCAAACGGGTACTTGGAGAAAGACACACCTTGATCTGCATGAACCACATCCATTATATTCAAGAGCCACCTTGCGAACTTCCACTTTAATTTAATCCCAACTTCCAGGTACCTCTTGAGTACCCACCCTAATATTCCACAGCTTCCACTTGGCGCTTGGGTTTCCGGAGTTCTTGGGCGCCCGATTTTTTTTTCGGGGACTCGCTGGGCTCCTTCATCGCCTTCGAGCGATCGCAGCGCGGAGCGCAGGGCCGCGGCCTGGGCCTCGCGGGGCAGCAGGCGGTGCTCACGCGGCGCATGCCGCGGTCCATCGTCACCGCCAGCTCCGCTGAAGGCGCGGGGCGCGCGCGGCGCCCGCGCGCAAGCCGCGCGCGAGCGTCAGGGCCGCCTTTAAAACAGCCCTCGTCGACTTCTGAAGTACCTGAAATTTGAGTTGCTCAAATGAAGTCATGGTTGCATGGGGGGATTAAACGAAGTGATGCGTCTTGCTCCTTTTGTTGAGGAGGGGTTGCCACCCTTTACCAGCAACATGGTGTTTTTGTTTTCGTTTTTACCATGGCCCCTGGGTGTTTGGGCGTTTCGTAAGGTGACACCCCCAGTTCTCCTTGTTAGTGCCGCAAGCGGGTTCTTTTTTCCGGGTTACTCTTGCTAAGTGGCTTGCCTTCTTTTGTGTGTCGCGTGCTGCAAGGGAGGGGGGGCTACTGTCAGTGAAGGAATTCCTTTCGGGCGTTCCATTTACCTCATTTCCGGGTGAAATCGAATTCCAAGATGGCCGAAATGAGGTGCAGAAATGGTCAAGCGGATGTTCGGGCGAACTGGATAGGTGGCTTACCTGTTGAATGGTGGGTCAAGAATTGGTACCCAAAATGGGTTGCCCTGATAAATGGAGAAGGACATTCAAGCCTGCGGTCCGATTCCTGGTGGTTTCATTTTGATGCATGCTGGCAACCGTTGTGCAACTGGCAGTTGTTGTTGCTGTTTGTATAGTCACTGCAAGGATTGATGGCTGTTTGGCCCCTCATACCACAAAAGCGGTGTTGTATAAGACACGACCGCATGGAGAAGCGGGCTCATGGGTCTAAATGAGGCGTGACACAAGAACAACAGAAACGACCACGGACCTGTTGTGACCTTGGAAGGGTATCGGTGTCCCAAGTTGGTAACTCAAGACAGGTAGCCTCAAAGACGACCCACCCTTGCGTATAACGCATCTCTATAATGTTGGAACTTGATTAATAAAGGACCCCCCCATCACCAATGGAGGCACTGGAATTCTGTACGTCTCACTTTTGGGACGTCCAAACAATGGAGGATTTTGTGGCCCAATTCTACTTGAGTATTGCAACCACTTCTTCCTGAGCAGACTTTTTGGAATACTAATTACGTTAGTAGCCATTCAAAGGGTGTGCCTTTCAGCCAGGGAGGGCTTGAGCTAGAAAGGAACCAATTGAAAGGGGAATGCAAGTGGGCCACCGATTGAAAGGGGAATGCTTTCAAGCAAGTGGGCGACCAATTGAAAGGGGAATGCTTTTAAGTAAGCGGGCCACCAATTAAAAGGGGAATGCGTTTGAGTAAAGCAACTGACAGTTTATTTTCTGGAGGGGGCTGGGGGCTTGCAACTAAAGGATGCCATTGTTGTGGTTCAGTGGAGTCTGTGAGGGGTACCCTTGTCCTGATTGTTGTTTTTGTTTTCTTTCATGTTTTAAACACGGTTTAATAAAGAATTTGCAGTTTCAGGGCTGGGGATGGTCTTCAACTTTTAGAGGTTTCAGCTGGCTTTGGGTTTTGTGTTTGAGCAAGCAAGTAAAAGGGGAATGCTTTGAAGCAAGTGGGCTACCATCAACAATTTGTGGATAATTTTGGGATTGGTGGATATATTTGTTGGATCCCTCCCCCCCCCGCCCGGGCAAAAACAACTTTCAGTTATTCTGGTGCCCATCAACAATGGGGGTGAACCTCAATAAGGAAAAACTTTGCATTATTGACTATCCCATGATTAATCGGGTGTCAACATTATATGTATAGATATATGTATAGTAATGTATAATTTGGTGCATTTTGCTTGGATGTTAGGACTTTAACTTTTTGCCAACTAATGGGGTTTCCGTATTAAACCACTCAAAGTTGTATACTTTTAGCAGAGGAGCAGATTTTGCAACCAAGAATATGTACATGCACAGCTCTTCCATCTTGCTTGAACGGTTGCAGGGTCGCGGGCTTGTTCACAGGCTACTACACTCGAGGCTGCTTCAGCCGGCTGAGGGCGCGGGGCCTAACCTTTCGAGCGAACACAGACCCACAGCCTCACTCCCTGAGTTCCGTTTCGGACTTGCGTCGCTTTGTGGGTTTGGTCGCCATGTTGGTAAGCAAAAACGTGACTGGAGCTTTTGTTCACTTGTTGGGTTTGGGTGCAATTTTAGTGGCAATCAACAAGTGACGGGAGGTTTTGTTGGTCAATCTACTCGGAATTGAGGAGCCTGGAAGTTGCCATGTTGCTACACTTGCCTGTTTGGTTTCAAAGAACGTCACCAAGGGAAGCAAGCAACTTGGCGGGTTCTCAGTAGGGAATGAGGGAATGACCTCTATAAACCATCCCCCATAGTTTCCTTTAAGGGAATCCCTGGGTTCCTTACGCTTGGTTTTATCAGAGGCCTACAGGGACATTTCCCAATTCAACCGGATTCCCTATTTTCTGAGTGGTTCCCAGGCACCCGGTTCCTTAGGTTTTTGTTTCTTTTCATTTGGTTTGATGGGTTTGCGAAGTTAACCCACTGAAAGTTATTTATCCGGGGATCTGAAAACGAACAGCCCATTGAGCTCCCAAGCGGCACGTGCTAGCTCAACTCGAGGACATGAAGAAGGAAAGCGCTTGCGAATCGCCTCTCTGTTTCGGCTTGACGGCGATTCATTGCTGGACAACCAGGGCTCCTTAAAAGATACATGTTGCAACCATTTGAAACATGTTGCTTTTGCAACACCAAAATAATGGGAAACCACCATTTGCAAGTTGCAATGTTCAGGTGTATAATGCCTCCGGATCCCTGACAACTGCCCCTCTTTGGTAGGAATCCCATTCGACTAGGAGAGGGTTCGCGAGCCCCTTGCGGGTTAGGGTTCCCTGAGCCCCTGAAAAGCCTCCAAGCCCCGGCCTATGGAGGAAGGCCCGGTCAGCCGAAAAAGTGTCATGTTAAACATGCGGTGCCAGGCAGTTTGCTTTTAACTTTTGAGCTGAGCCTCCCCAACTGATGGACATGAAGCACCATTTATGCGGTTTATCCTGGTATTCATCCGTCCCAACTGGTGCATAATGGTTATGGCTTGTGTACTTCCCCTTTCTCTCAGGATCCTTCTCTTGCCAGCCCGCCCCCCCCCCCCCCCCGGGGAAAATGGGTGGTTTCTACAGAGAACGATGAGTGAAGAGCATGGGAACTCAACCCTTAGACCTAGTTTGAGATTTTGAGACACCCATATTATTCATCCACTCACCCCAACCTCTTCTCTAGGGCTGCCTTCCCCATTCTTTCCAGGGATCCTTATTTTCAGGAAGCCATCAAAACCCCAGGGAAACAGCTGGTTTTTGGAAAGAACGATGGTTGAAAAGAATGGGCAATCAACCCCTAGATCTTCAGGTTGTGCCCCAACTTGCAACTTGCCCCCGAAGCGAAGCAATCCCGAAGCCGCCGAGACCTCGCAGTCCTCTATGGGACCGCCGGGAACGCCAAGAGAGAGGAGCTGTCTCACAGAGTGGCGTGTATAGGATGGGTAAGGCAGCGTCCATGACCCTCAAACAAATTGGTCAATACCCAAAATTCCGTGTCCCGACTTCATGTTTCAAGGGTCATGGAGACTCCAGGGATGTTGTTGGAGATGAACATCTCTAGCCAGCGAAGAGACTTTGGGCAGGTGTATTCTTAGCAATAGAGAACCAAGTGCGCTGCCCTGTGAAACAGCAACCAGCTGAAGCAGCGCATGGCGAATCCAAGGAAGTTAGCATGCAGGATAGTTGAGGGAAGCCGGGGGTTCTCACCAAAAAGGAATTCACATTGTCGGGAGAAGACTTATCAAGCCGCCGCCACGCATGAGCGGAGATACGGGTGTGTTTTCTGCAGGTACCCGTTTGGTGGCATAATGTGGCATAGGTGGCCCGTTTGAACAGCACGATGGCCCTGGTAAAGGGGGCACAAAACCCAAAACCAGTGCCACCTAGTTCTTACCCAACCTTTTCAGGACACCTGTGGTGAGTGGTGGCTGTGAAGGGCTACAAAAGGGGAGTCGACCATTGAAGCCAGCCAACAAAAAAACCGATCCCCCCCCCAAAAAAAAAGAACGCGTAGCAGGGCGGACGGGTTTCTCAGCTTCCTGAAGTCTAGTTGTGTGCATTGCTTTGGGGGCCTTTCTCATGGTTGTTGTTGGGAAACATTTTACATTTCTGCTTATTGTGGTTTAGTGGGAAATTCCCACTTAACTGCTTCTACCGGGGTCAAGTTCGAACTGCTTGAGCCTTGGCTAATTATAGGTGAACCAATAACAACCAATCACCCTGGCTCAAAAAAAAACATCCAAAATGGCACCTTGGTAAATGGAAGCAAAGGCTACAACCTGCGTAACCCTGGCTCTTTCATTTTCAGCCATACCCACCTGTGTAAATTGCGGCAAGCAGAGTTTCCCTTGAGGTTGCGTTTCCGAACTACGGTGTCCCTGTCAACACCCCCAAATAGGGTCACACAAATCCTTTTGAAACCCCGGTATTTTGTGCCAACCTTTGCATACTTTCTAAACTTGTTGCCTTTTTGGAGGTTTTTAGAATCGTTTCCCCTTTGCGACGTTAACGCTGTCGTTAATTTAACCACTTTGGGACTGTTCATGTTCGTGTCACAGGCCGACCGTTTTCTAGGGGTACCTTCCCCATTCTTTCTTTGGATCATTCTTTCTGGAAACCCTCCGGAAACCCAGGGAGAACGGCCGATTTTTGGAAAGAACGATGGTTGAAAAGAATGGACAAGGAATCAACCCCTAACAATGTGAGTAGAACAATGTGAGTGTCACACTCAAAACCGATCGCTATCAATGGTTTTTGGATGGTTGAAAGAATGGATAAGGAATCAATGCCTAGACGTTTGGCCTCTTCACCAGCAAGACCTTTGTTCGACCGCCCTGTCAGCCAGCTAGCGTTGTTTCGAGGTCAATGTCTGGGCCAAGCTGGGCGCTGAGAAGGGGGCTGTCCGCCACCTGCGGTTTTTTTCAGGATGTTTGAGCCATTTATCCCTTTTTGGAACATCCCAAAGCGGCAGTTTTCGTGGACACCACCAGCATTTTGATCAAACAGAGTCTGGAGATCCAGTGAACCCTGATTTGAAGGCAGCTTCCAGCAAAAAGAGAGTGGCCTCTTTTTCCCATGGCCAGTGAATTGGCAAAGGCGCCAATTCCATGTGGAAATTTCAGTGACGCTCCCGCATGGATTTTCGGACTATTGTACCGCCGACATCCGGGATTTACCAGCAGAGGTACTTTCAATTGAGGAGCCGTCTCCATGGAGCAGTTCCCTGGAACTGAAAAAAGCAACGCCCCAAGGTGTTTTGCTGGTTTGTCATGAAGGTCTGTGGAGAGCATCCTCCAGGATCTAAAGCAGAGTGACCTGGCCCCCAGGACCAGAGCTTCAAGACAAGTAGCTCCCCCCCAGATAAAAACAAAAGAAAGCTGCAAGTAGAGCGGAACGCCTAGCAGTGTCCACGGAAATGCAAGCTCAATCTTGAATAAGGGAGCGTTGGATGAATCCACCCCAAGTAGTCTTGATGCCGGCTCAATTGCAGACCTGCGCTATCAAACGCATGTTGCCTTGAACAACGGCATCCTTACAGCCACACTTTCGCTTGAACAAAGGCTTAGAATACGGCACCCACCCCTCTTCCGCACAACCGAATGTCATACACTACATAATTGGACAATATGGACAAAGCAAATCTCACCCGAATGATGCCCTCAAAGGGCAAGCAACACACCAGCCTGAAGGGGCCACGCATCGTGCACAGTGTCTCAGTCAAGCATGTTGACATGCATGGAGTTCCTTGCTGCACCAGACTGTGTTGTTCAATGGTTGCTCCCCTACAAATTAACATTGAACCATAGAACTAGAGAACCCAAAAGGCGTGTCCTTTTCCCCAAAGGAGTTTCCTCTACAAATGGATGGGATTTTGGGGTTCCATGTCCATCTGTATAGAGGAGTACCAATTTGGGTGTGTCTTTTTTTAGGGGACCGCCAAAATGCTGGGTTTCCCTGCTTTGTCCCATGTCCAGAATCCCAAGATTGCTATTGTCCCACACGCAAAACCTTAGGCCAAGATCTTGGCGCCTACGACTCACAGTCGCAAGGCGGATTTCTCGGCCGGGAAATCCATGTTTCGGGTGGCTAGCTCGGGTGGTTTTTCGACGTGAAAAACAAGTTGATGGCGGGGAAGAATAAAGCGAGCTGCAGCTTTGTACTGTATGGATCCGTTGTTTGTTTGCCAAAGACTCTAGTTTGCAGCTTGTGTATGAGAAATCCAAACTTCCAGCTGGCAGATGTCCAAAGAAGCAACGTCCAGGGCGCCGCCCCCCACCCTCCCCCCCCCCCAACCCCCCTCCCCCCCCTCCAGGCGGCGTTTTTTTTCTCCCCCAGGTCCATCAGTCCATAAGTACCAAACAAAGTACCAAACAAAAATCTTGGCAGGATACCCTCAATTAGATGTGGTTGGCTCACTTGCAATATGGGATTCAACCGCGGAAAGGACGGCAAGAAGGTTTCAGCATGGATCGTGTGTCAGACTTGGGATGGCTGGTTGCCAAAGGCATTGGATTGGCTCAACCTTCCGCCTGCAGCTTGACCAAACCCAACTTTCAACCTGACAGATCCTAAATGAGCCGCGTCCTCAAACCCCGGATTGATTAAGGATAGTAAGGTCCCCAGCCAAAAATAGGTGTGGATATCCACCTTTTAGTTCTTTACATGGTTTTGGCATCTTCGACAAACATGCCAAACCTCCAGGTTGGGAAGTCAGCTTTCTCCCTGCTGGAATGACCCCTATAAACCCTTCTGGTTTCAACCATTTTTTGGCGGTTTCCTTTAAGGGGCCCTAAACCATCCCTATAAATCATGCAACTGGTGGCTTCCTTTTTTCGGTGACCCCAAAACGGTTCATTCCGTTTCTCATTCCCAAACCTGGTCCCGGAAGGGTTCCCCTACTAAACTAGACTACAACAAAAAGGGTACCCTTATTCCAACCTCTCTACTGGAGGACCTAGCGAACTACTCCCAGCTCCTTGTTCCCTAGGGTGGAATTCCTTGGGTCGGGAATGAATCGCTTTGGGGGCTCCCCCAGGAAAACAGCTGGATAGTTCATTCCATGTCTCATTCCCCAACCCCTAGGGTTCCGCCCCCAAAGAAAGATTGACCCAATTTGCATGACAATCCTTAGGTAAACAATGGTGGTTATATGGATCCCCAATGTGGCAACTGAACCCCAAAAATCACTATCTGGGTGAATTATAACGACCTCACACAACCTCACACGACCTCACCCCACATGGTGGTTCATGTTGGGAATGGGCTCTCCAATTACTTTATCTCAGGTTGGTGAGATATTATAATTCACTCAGGACTATCCCTATAAACCATCTAAATTGGTGGCTTCCTTTATTTGGGGACCCCAAAATGGTTCACTCCATTTCTCATTCCCTATCTACTCCAAAATCCTACAACTGAAAACCTGGCGTTCGACGAGTAGCAGGTGCAAAACCTGTTTTTTTCTGCCCACCCCACTTTTTTGTAGGTTCTTCGAGTACCAGGAAGGAACCTTAAAGAACCTTAAGGAACCCGAAGAAACCCAAAGAAACTCTCAACTACCTCCGGTGGATGGTTCATTCCATTTCTCAGGTCCCGATCTAAAGGCACCAACAAAAATCCGCGCGAGGCTTCAGCCTGCCCAGCGTGCCCACCACCGCGCCCTCGAAGCCGCCCACGGCGCCCGGGCTCTTCGCTTCGGAAGAGGCGAGGGCTCTTCGCTACGCGCGCGAATCGGAGCTGCGATGGGCGCGTGGGGTTGGAAACTTTCAGGGGGAAAGAACAAGCATTCATTCAGGGTTTGGGGTTGGAACTTGGAAAATGTTTTTTTGTTTTTAAGTTCAAAGTGGCGGACATGTTCTTTTTGCAAGGCTGCAGTTGGGTGTGTGTCGAACATTAGCAGCCAACATGATCCCTGGTAAATGGAAACCAGGACAAAAACCTGCGGTCCCCTGGTGGTTTTTCATTTTGACCCATAGCCAGATTATGTGTTCTAGGTCCCCCAGCTAGGTGTCCTTTGACCAACTTTTTTGGGGGAGATTCGGTTCCCCTACTGAAATAGACCACAGAAAAAAAAAAAGAATAAGAAAATCGGGTACCCTTCTTCGAACCTCTCTGGAGGACCTGTTGTTCCCCGCTACGATACCCAAGCCCCTTTCAAAGGCCTTCTGAGAGTGAGAGTCCTTTCAAGCAAATGGGTGCCTCGTTTGTTTTGTGTAGGGACCTCTCAAAATGAATGGATATGGGTCAAAATGAAACCGCCACAAAAACCGCAGGTTTTGGTTCTTGGTTTCATTTACCAGGGTTCCATATTGATTTGTTTTGACCCACAGCCAAATGGTGTTTTTGTGTGTTGAGTTTCCTTTAGGACCTACCCAAATGGGGACACCAAAAGAAGACTCGCCCAAGTTTTCCACGGGAGCCCCAAATTACTAAACCCGTGTTGGTCGATCACTAGGCTGCAACCCATCTTAGAGATCCTGACACAATGATGTGGGAGAGTGTCTGGTTTTTACGGTACCCTCTTTGGAGTGATTTTGTTTAGTGGGAAAGCGAATGCACACCGACCATTTGTCCGCCGTTGCAAGACACCCATTTGTGAAATCCATGTTCTTGAAACTTGGCAGGAGTCTTGATCTGATAGCGGAGCAGGTCACTAAACCGTGACTTTTGTGCACGCGGACGCGTGCTTTCTAGCTTAGTTTGCTTAGAAACTGATTGATGGGTTCCACAGGTTTAGATTGGCAGCAGGGAAGACCATCTAATTTTGCCAGAAGGTCTCTGATGACTCTGGCGGTTTCTGTGTGTCATGTTTCTGTGCCCTGAAGCGCCGTGCATGGTGAGGTTTTGTGTGAATGATTTAGGATGATTGCCGCGCCCTCTCGAAATGGGGTTCCTTTAACTTTAAGACCCGCAAAAAAAGGGGTACCCTGAGGTTTCCCCAATCTTTTGGGTCACTGGGCATTTGGGGAAGGGATGCGTGGCTTCTTGGCAGAACGCAAGGGGCCAAATTTGCACACATGGGTGTGTCGTTTTAGGGACCCCCAAAAATCAAATCAGGCAAAACAAAGGAACAAGGAACATAAAAATCAGTAAACATAGAAGGGTGGTGTTTTTGCTGTTTGCCCTCAAAATCACAAAAAAAACACCCCCGCAAAAAAGACGCAGCATTCCCTTTTGATCATGGCATTCGGTTTTAACGTCTTGCACAACCCCATTCTACTCTGGACCCTGGACAAAGTACAACCAACAGCTCGCATGGTAAAACGAGCTCATCCATGAAGGGTGACTTACAGTAATTTGGCCGGGTTCTAAGTATTTGCTTAAGAATATGTTATATTTTCTCTTGTTGGTTTTAAAGGGAATCTATCACTACTGGACTTTTTTTTCAGGGGACTTAAGCAACTGGAAGTAGTCAATTTTCCTGCCAGGTCAGGCGCGCAGCATCACCTGCGCAGGAGGATGCAGGGTCTTCCAGTTGTTCAGAGCCTTCGCAGCCCATTCGGAACCAGTTGGGGATAAACCCCCCTGGGATTTTTGTCCATCCGATACAGTCCAGGGGGACCTTTTGAGGGCCAAAAGGAAAACAACACTTTCCTGTGTCTTTTTAGGGGACGCCCCAAATCTGTGTTTTCCTCTTGGATTTCCTCTAGCGCCATGGAAGCTACCCACAATAATTGGTTGCCCTAAAGTGATGGGGTGGTTTCGCTTGCTTAAGGGAAATTTGAGGGTTCCGGAATCTCCTTCCACACTCTGTAGTAAGGTCTCCAGATCAGTTGCCATTCCTGGTGCGGCGTGCGGGGTGTCCATGCACGTAACAAGCGCTTCATTGCAGAGGTCCTTTTTCCATTGTCTCGCTTAAGCATCACCTTGGTAATGTTTAAACCTCTCCTTGGTAATGCTTAAAGCAGCAGAGAGTCACAAGTCCTCACAGGCGATCGGTGGAACACTCACGGGCGTATTAGACACGCAAAGCGGCGTTGAAGCCAACTGGTGGCGTGATTCTCACGAACTTCGGTTTTTGACTTCGGGCAGTTCACGAAGAAAAATCACATCTCAGTTTTGGACGCTGACGACTTCGTTTCGGCCTCAGTTGCCTGTCAGGAGCCCACGGAGGAGTACCTGTGGCCAGAAGACGAGGCGGTGGTAGTTGCAGTCGTGCTGTTGGGCGTGTTTTTGGAGGGTACCCTTTGCAGAGAGACCAAAGGTGGAACCACCGTTTTTGCGGGTCCCACCCCCCGCCCCATTTTGGTTACGCGTGTTTTTTGTTGTCACCGTTGTTGCGGTTGCCGCCGCCTTTTCGTTTTGCTACATCGCCGCGGTCTCTGTTTGGATTCCTATGGTTCACTGTCTGTTGTGGCTTAATAGTTGGCTGTGTGTTCCTCCTCCTCATCATCACCATCATCATCTTGATCACCATCATCGCCATCACCATCATAATAATAATTATCATCATCATCATCATCATCATCATCATCATCATCATCATCATCATCATCATCATCATCATCATCATCATCATCATCATCATCATCATCATCATACGCGCCAGCATCATCATTGCTGTTGCTGTTCTGCCAGCAGCATCTGAGGTGTGTGGATATTTCGTCGGGGTGTCCCCTTGTGGGGATTCAGAGCACTTTTGGAGGGGCCCTTACCCACAAAAAACTGCGAAGGTTCACAAAAGCTCCCTTCCCGGGTTCCCGCACACACACCAGAGGTGCTGGACTTTATACTTTCTGGGAAGACCATTTTAGTGGTAAAGAACAAGTTTTGGTTAGTTTTTTGGCCAACCCACTGGTTCGGAAGTGAATTCATCCAGGGTCAACAAATTCGGAGTCCACTTGTTTGGGATTGGTGAATCATAGGAGTTCATCCAGCTTGGGTGTTCTAGACCGTGGTGGTTCAAATCAATTAGGCGAAGCAGCGGACGCATTTCGCTTGTGGGATCTTTTAGCAAGGGTGACATGGATGTGTTTTTTGAGTTGGGACCTTGTTTTTGGGTACAGGGACAAGATCCCCCAGCAGTGCCCGTTCTCACCCCTTTTTTGGGGAGGGTTCCCCTACTAAAAAAGACAAAACCAAGAAAAGATCGGGTACCAACTCATTCTAACCTCTCTACTGGAGGACCTAGGAACCCACGCGCCCGCATGCCTTCCGGCACCGGCACCGCGATTTGCGACGCCCCTCGCCGTTTTTGAACGTCGCCAGGTGATCGCCTTTCTGGAATCGCCCGCGCTGCCGCCTCTTGGATTCGAAGGTCATTTGAGGGGTGCTGCAAATCAGCGCGAAAGAGACGTGTTAGCCCTGGGGTTCAAACCACCACTAAAACAATGGTGGTGCACATATCCACAATAATTGTCCTAAGGATTGTCATCATCTAAATTGGGTCAACCTTTGTTTTATTGGGGTTTGAACCCCAGGGTTAGTAGGTGGTTCGGTTCCTACCTGCAATTGAGGCTATGGATGGTTATAGCAATAAAGCCTATACACAACTTGTATAACATGGAATCCAAAGCCTATATACTATACACAATAAAACAAATAAAGCAAATAAAGCCTATGCACAAAGCCTATTTACTGTTTGTCTTATCCAAAGTCAATGGGTTTTGGGCTAAGCCGCAAGCCTTCTTGCTGTTGGTCTTTTCGGGGGTTCCTGTGCTCGGGTGGGAAATCAAGAAACATCCGAGGGCTTTCCCTTGCACCAGAATCAAGCCTGACTGGAATCTCTTGAGATGATGTTGTCTTCGAAAGTTCATGAAAGATGCACCAGAATCAAGCATGTGTTCTGCCTACTTTATGGCGGGCTCACCGATCCGGGGCAGAACCAGCTCACCACGATCAAGGTCCTTTGCTTGGGGTCACAAAACGATCTTCACAACTCTGGGTATTGTTGCAAAAAGCTTGTTATTTGCAGCTCCCTACTGAAAATGAACAGAGCCAAACAACCACAAAACCAAAACAACATGCCAAGAACCGCCTTAGGCCCCCAATCAATTTGCAAATGTTGCTATAAGAAATTAGATCCAAAGAAACTATTCACGCTGCTTCCAAAGAATGCTATAAAAGACTATAATCCTTGCTATAAAACTATCAATCCAAAAACTTGAAAAGCTGATTTAAGAATTGGATCCTAGCGAATGACAAGGTGCACTCGAGACCAGCCGGGAGTTCCTTTTGATCCGCTGACGTGTCTTCGATTCAAAGGGGGGTGGGCCACTTTGAGCTGAGGGCGGAAAGTAGCGGATCCAACAGGTCCTTGGATGTGTGCCTTGTGGATATGGGTATGGGTCAAAATTAAACCACCAGGGGAGCGCAGGTTTAGTGCTTTCCATTTACCAGGGTTCCCAAAACCAGTACTTTTTTTTGATTTACGGCCATATGAGAACCTTACGTGTTCAAACCAACTAAAACACTAACGTCCAACCACCCTCCCCAACAAAAAAGAGACAGCACGCATACAGACCCAGCTGAAACCGCCCGACCTGAACCCCGTCCCACTGCCCAAGGCCCTACAAGATGCCAAAGCGACCGCCGGAGGTGTACCGGAAGCAGGCGCCGACGAGAGAAATCTGCGTTTCCGGGAGCCGCATCCCTCAAAGGGGATTGGAGTGGATGAAGGATAAGGGATAGTCCCCTATCAATGGGCGCAGCCACCTTGAAACTTTCTGAAAAGCGGTTCGGGTCAGACCATCCTAATATTCTGATGCTAGTAAAGGGTAGTCCCAACCATCAATGGGTGCTGGTATCCGCCTTTTTAATTCCTGAAGCATGGTTCTGGGTAGACCATTTTGATTCCGATCGGTTTTTCAGTATGGCTTAGGTGTCTCTTTCTTGCAAGGGTGCCGCTTGTTTTATTTGAAGGAGAACCACCAGGAAAACTCCGCACAATTTGGGGGGACGTAAAACTTTCGGAAAGACAATTTTAATGACAAAAAAGCCCCACTCAGGAAGCGAGAAAACAACACACCCATTTCATTTGGCTCTCTAGTGCCCAAAGGGCGTGTTATTAGTATCTAGCTGCTCACTTGCCGAACTGAAATAACTTTTGCGTGTTTCCCGTTTCGGTCCATGTTGTGTGAAGGTTTCAAAAGGGCGTTTCTGCTATTATTTTTTGGGGGGAAGTGTCTGTTATTCTTTATTTGGGGAAGTGAGGCATGGCTTGAAGAGTTGCAGGGTTTGGCTAGGTTGTGTCGGACTCCAACACTTGGCTTCCTTCTATGTCGCAGGGTACATGAGCAACAGTCAAAGTGTGCAGTAGTCTTCGGTCATTTCGAAAAATGGGATCACTGGCTGGACTCTCTACATAGTTGATCAATATTCCATTTGGGGCCCCAAAAAGACCATATTATCTTTTTAGTGGGTTTCCCAATGGTCATCACATGTAAAGGACCTTTTGATCAACCCCCGCATGTCAACCACCCACCCACATTAATTGCTTTGCCAAAGCGAGGTCACATTCGAGGCTTTAGGTTTCTTGGATCGCGGTGCCGCTTGCAGTCGAGTTACGAAAGGGTTAAACTGTTTCATCCCAGCTGTTTCGGGCAAGAGGAAATACTTTGCAGACAATCGATATATTTTGCCGATGAAATAGCTCCCGGCTAATAGCGACCTGCTCGACGGTGTGAACCAACCATTCGCCATGAGGCACCTCGATCAAATTAGAAGGATTCCCTTGTGACTTACACAGGGGTCCCTATATTTCCCTTGTTGGTGGTTTTAAACATCGCCTTTCTGGCCATGAAAGGTGAGCGTCCCTTGGCGGGGGTGATGTTCTAAGGGGAAATATAGGGAGCCCTGTTACAGGTTTTTTGTGCTGTCTTGGTGGTTGTGGAAGGTTCTCAGGTTAGTTGGTGGTCTGGATTGGGCGTTTGCCAGCTGGGTGTTCGGGCTATTCTGGGAAGACTAAACCTTGAATTGACAAACTGATAGACGTGTGCTGACTACGAGTGCACTTCGATGCTCGTGGTTTTACTAGTTTAGACGCGCTTGTCGATTTGAATGAACCCGCATACTTGACCCTGCACATAGTAGTTTGTGCGCAACAGAAGCGACCCGGTAGTTTAATCAGTGACTAGACACATTGTTGAACTTGGTTCTGAAGGAAACTTGGGCAACTGGACACTTTCTGGTGAGTTTTACGGTCAATTCTTGGGTGTATAGAAAAGTGGGAACGCCTTTGGGCATGATTTACATGGAATTTGACGTCCATAGGGTGTCTCCATGAACAATGTTGAACAGGACATTAACAAAACCAGCCTTCGGAAAATTGACCTTTCAGTGTCCGCGTGTCCCAACCAAAACAAGAAGACCCTTGGCTGGTTTTCTGGGGTGGGCACACAACTTTTGTTGGACCTTGCTCTTGTCGGGCTCCAAGAACTAGTTGCTTCCCACCACCATGTTGGGAATATTGTGGTGTGGTTGAAATCCAAATCCACTTAGCTGCTAAAAAATGGATATTTTTTGGTTGGCTCTCCTTCCGACATCAACCAAGAGCGCGTTCTTTTTCGGGGGAACCTTGCTCTTGGGCTCCAAGAACTATCAGTTGCTTCCCACCAGCCAGATCGCGGATTGCGAGAGGCGGAGCCGCATATGAAGGGCCAGCCCAGCTGGCAGGTCTTTGAGGCGCAGAAGTACCAGGCGCGCCGTGGCTTGGGCGCCGCGCGAGAGGGGCGCAGTTTGGTTTTCTTTGAGGCTCGGTACCCTTTTGGGGGGGTGGGTTTCAAGGGAAAGCAAAGGGGCCATGTCCTGTTTGGGGGGAAAACTGGCCGTAGTGTGGAACAAACGCAAATGCAGTGTGAGTGCTGGCAACAAATGGGAGCGGACCCTTGTTGGTGTCTACATTGGTGAAAGTAAGACCTTTGTGGGTAAGTAAAGGGGATGACTAAGCCGACATGGCGACATCACATGCCATCTACGTTCGCCTGATTGTAGTATACGGACACCCCAAAAAGACCTGAGTGGTTCATGTTTGAGCACCCTAGTGTAGCCTGATTCCTAGGGGTGGTTCATTTTCCAAAAGAGAATTTCTGGGCTTTAGTAAGGCGGATCCCGAAGCCGAGAAATGGACAAGGACTCCTTTTGGTTCAGGTTTCCAAGGTTGGGGCTGATCACCCATTCAGTTGTTCCAAGGGTTTTTGTATTACACTCTGGAAATACACCCATTGGGTATTGACCCCATTTAGGCACATTTCCGGAAAAGCCGTGTTATTTTGAACCATTCTGGGTCATTTCGCAAGGGTGTAATGTGAGAATTGTGATACACACACCTCAGAGTTGTGCTGTTTGCAGCCTTTCAACCGAGCTGTTGTTGAGCTTGGGGTCCTTCGCAGAGCTGGGGACATGTCGTGGGCTCGGGCGAGTCGTGGGCTTGAAGAGCTCGCAGCGACATGCCCCGGCCAGACAGGTGTCGTGTTGCCATTCGGCTTGGCATTTTGGTTCGCCGGTGGTTTCCGGCCACCCGGTTCAACTTAGCTTGTTAGCTTTTTCGTGTTTGGTGGGGATGTGCGAACTTAACCCACTAAAAGTTAAGCTTTTATCGCTGGGGATCTGAGGACAGCCCAGTTTTGAAGGTGCACATTCTTGGGAAACCAATGGGAAACAACTGCAAAGGTGGTTTTCCTGTAGTGGTGCCATGTGCGGGGGCGTGAGCTGCTGAAATAATGTCCTTTCCTTGTGCCACTCACCAAGTGGGACAGGATAAAACAGGCTTGCCGCTGTTGCCCATGTTGGAGAGTTTATGCCACTGCAAGGATTTCAGTATCTGTTTCTGGGTAGCACACTCATTTGCCATGTCTATTTCTGCTTCCTTCGAGCTGTTTTTTGGAGTTGATTTTTTTGTTTTTCCCCGCGGGCATAGGGGTACCCTGCGGCGGAGAGCGCTTTGTTGTTTAAATGAGCACGCTGGCTCGTTGTGGGAATCATAATTGATTGAAAGAAGAGGCATTTGCCTATCCTATGGCTTTCGAGCTCCCTGATTCGGTGGCAAGAAGAGCTTACCATGATTAAGGTTCTTGGGGGTTCCTTGTTTCCCGCTTGGGAATTGCAAGGCTTGAGTGTATTGCGAAACCTCTTAATCTCATCCCATTGGTTAGTCTCCCATGCCATGGAGACTTAAAGTCTATTTCGCAGACTCTCGCCCAACAAAAGCAAGCTAAACAAAGGCTACCCTGACCCAAACAATTCCAACGTAGAATTGTCCATCCTACGTCCCTCCCCATCCCGCCACTGTCAGTCGGGCCAAGTGCTGGCGCCCCCCTTCGCGCGAGTGCTGCGGAAGCTCCCTGAGGAGGCGCGGATCAAGCCACCAGATGTACTTGCCGATAGCCAGGGAATGTGCTTGAATGAACCCAGGGATTGGTCCTCAAGGAAACCACCAGTTGGATGAGGGTCATTCCATTTCTCACTCCCCACCTATCGCACCAGCGAGTGTATAAAAAATCCGAGGCTCGGCCGGGATTTTGAAGCTATGGCACTCGCAGCCCGCCAGGAACACTCAGCCCATAGCTCGTTTGGATAGTGTCAAAAGAGTCCTCCTTCGGTGTGGTTCCAGCCCATATGGCAGAGATGTGTGCGCTAATCCGGAATGTAGCTGGATGGGACCCCAAAGCCCCGGCCGGTAGAGGATCGGGCAAAGCGATGCACGAGGGAAGAATTTGGGCCAGAGGTCTCTGAGACTCTGAGACGGGAGATCCATGTTAGAGGCTGCATTCCACCCGTCCAATACAACTAGGTCCCCCAGCAGGTGCCCTGTTAACCTTTTTGGGGGAGGGTTCACCTACTAAAATAGACTACAAAAACAAGCTGGCTCTCGTATTCTAGCCTCTCTACTGGAGGACCCAGACAAAGTTCCCTGATGTTGCCCTTTTGTGTCTGTCTGTGTGTGCATACAAATGTTCGGCATGGCCCAAATTTAAGCTGCCAACAGGGAAACAGATATGGCTTGACACCAGCAGGTTTAATCTTGGGTACCTGGAAGAGCCACGGTTGCTTGCTGCCAAAGCCCACCTTTTGAACCGTTTCCTTCGATGTTACTCAAGCTCCTGAAACGCACTTCCCCCCCAACCTGCTAAAATCCCAATGCAAGTATATGTCCACAAAGCAGTGGGTTGGGACCCGGGTGCTGGCAACGATTCTATTTGGGTCTGTCTTTTTGTGAGAGTACCAATTCAGGTGTGGGAACCAACAGAAAAATCGAAGCCATTCGGGGGATGCCCCCCAATGTAGAGACACACCCAGTTCTGTATCCTGTGGGCAGACCAAGCAACCTCATGTTGTTTGGGCTGACTTGGCCCAAGAAGTGAATGACAAGAGATCCGAGGGCTGCGTTCATTGTTGGAGAGAGGCAGTCTCATACTTAGTCGCCACGATGAAGTATGCAAACCCCAACCATGACTACTACGTTTGCGTTTACTGGTCAGGCAATGAGCTAGTGGGAACTGCGGGTCTCAGCCAATCTCGTTGGGTCAGTGGGCGGGTTCCCTGGTTAGGAAGGACGTTTGCGCAGCAGTTTTTGGATTTGTGTTTTGTTGTGTTTTCCGGGGACGCGATTTCCCTTTAGTATTTTTTTTTCCTGGGAAGCAATCTCCCTTGAATTGTTTTGTTTTTTTGGGATTCCCCTAGAAATCTGCTACCCCAAAAACACTGTCTTATGGCTCAATCCGTGCTCCCAGGCAGCAGTGCTGGACTTCCCAAGACTTGCCGCGACGGGTCCCATGGAAAGGACGGGTAGGATCAGGCAACCCTTACTTGGGGGTTTTCACGGATGGTTTGGAAAAACATTCTTGCAGCGGGTAAATGGGGCACCACCCCACCAAATCACCAATCCAAACCACCAATCAGAGAGAAGCTGATTTAAAGATCACGCAAGGAGAAACTCACATTGGCACCCAACCCCACCAAACCAAAGCAAGCCACTGAGCTGATACCCGAAATCTCTCGCCAGATCCGGCCTGGCCTGGACCAGCAACCTCCGGGACCGCTGGCGCATCCTTCGGAGCCCGCCGGATGCGCCAGTGAGACGAGAGAGCGAGCGGAGACGTCTGGGGCTTTGGAGGCGGTGCCCAGGCATCCGGTTCCTTAGGTTTTTGAGTTTTTAGGATTTGGTAGCTGGGTTTCCAGTTAACAAACTAAAAGTTAAAACTTTTAGAAGGAATCTAAATGGTTGATCCCCAAATGGGGAGGGCACGGTAGACATATATTTGGACCCCGAAGAGTTTTCAGCTGTCCTGGGCCACGAGTTGCTGTTGTTAAGGTCGAAAGTTTGGGTAGCACCCGCCATTTTTCTCCAAACGGTGAAGCCTCGCAAACGGTTGGTTTCCCTTTGACCGCCCTGATCAAAAACACTCCTTTGCTTTGGGGTACCCTCAACGAAAGGAAAGACACTCGAGTTACTCAAAATATATGTGTGTGTCTTTTATTGGATAAGCCTTTGGCGGCTTTTACCCATTGGGGACCCCCAAAAAAGACACCCAAACATGTTCTGGAGTCAAAAAGTGTCATATGTAGTCGGTGGACATTGGACATTGGACAATTCTTAAGATATCCTGAACCGCAACTTGACCATACCGGATACTTTTAGACCGAACGGCGGGAACTCCGAAATCCTTGGTTTCGCTTCACCACACAACCTGAACCCTCAACTTACCCCTACGAAAGCGGCAATTCTAGGGCAATGAGTTTCAGTTTTACAGGTGGTTTCTCGGCTCCCAGCCATCCCCTCAGCTTTTTAGTGGAGATGTCCGAATTTAGCCCACGCAAAGTTTTTCGCTTTTAGTGGGGGGTCCGAAAACGGACAGCGGTCCAGGCGCCTCCAAAAAAAGCGAGCACCGGGTGACCGGTCGCGGGTCTTGTCTGCCAGTCCGTGAGGTGTGGCACCAGATGCAGCATAGACTGGAGGTGGGACTTCGATGCTTTGGGGGGGCCAGGGTGCCGAGAGTCCTGGCCTTGATTCTGAAAATTCGCCTTTCAGAGCTGGTTTCATTTTCCCCCCGGGTTGGACATTTAAACGGAATCTATCACTGGAAGTATTTAATTGTTTTCCAGGGGGCGAAAATGCTAATGGAGGGATCGCTTGGAGTAAGAATCAGTTAGCACATGGACATATCCTTGTGGCCCCGTTTTGACTGGGACTCACTTTGAATGACGAAACTCTTTGCCCAAAGCGAGTCGAGCTGAACTGAGCCACGATCAAAACCTGGGTAGATGAAGGTTAGTAAGGGGCAGTCCCAGCCAGAAATAGTTGCGGCCGCCTTCTGAATTCTTTACACGGTTCTGGATAGACCATTTTAATAGTTTTCGTCAAGGTCGAACATGTTAATCCTGTCCGATGTCCTTTTTGGCAAGTGAGAGCTTGGGAAGTGCACATTTTTGGAGGTCAAACACGCCCCATGAATCCGACAGACAGATTATTCGACAAGAGGAAGCAAAATGGGAGGTTAAAATCAGAAATATACCTCAGCCGTTTATTTGTTGAGGTCTGTGAAATCAGACACACGACTCACCAAATAGAATACGTAATGTCAAGCTCGGCTTAGTCAGGGAGACCGGGAGACTAATCAGAGGACCCCCCGAATTAGATCATTTCCGTAACAGGAGCCAACTCTCAGTAGTACGGACCTCCGAACTAAGAAGTTAACATTCCCCTGCCACAAACAAACATGGAAATCATGGAATTTGAAAGAGGATCCCTAGAGGTCAATTGTCAAAAGCAGGGACCTGCTCCCTTTCAGGTTTGTTTCTGTTTCGGAGGGTAGCGAATATCTGGAGTCTCCAACATCCTGTGATATCTTATGGTAGAGACTAGGAATAGACTAAATATATGGTCCAATGTGGCCCATCATCTCTATTATTTGCTTTGTGTACCCCAATGGGATACAACAAATCATATATATATATATATAATATATATATATCATATCATCTTTTTGGCCCGGGATCGGGGTGATGCTTGACGGGGGCCTTTTTGGTTGTCTTTTGTTAGGGACCCCCACCCCCACCCTTCCCCATCCCCCCCCTCAATAGGGCACCAACTCCAAAAAAGACGAGCCCAAATACGGAACCCGATCCGAAATTCCCCGTTTCCCGCAGGTCATCCTCCGGAAGCAAGGCCGCCGCGCGGAGCGGCGGAGGCTCTTGCTCGCGCTTTCGCGCGCGTTCACGCGACGGGTTTCTGGGCGCTGGTTGTCCGGTTTGATCCAGCGGAAAACGATGACATGGGGGCCTTAGACATGGTCGGGTTTTGTTTCTAAATTCTGGGGGGCATGCGTTTTCCGGGGTTTCCGACCATAGACGACCGCAACTTGACCATAGACTGGCTATTTTTAGACCAATTGGGAACTCCCAAACTGGTGTTTTCTCTTCAACACCCCGCAAAAGGCAACCTGGACCCTGACATTTGCCTGAGAACAGGGACGCATCTTTTTGGTGAGAATCCAGGTACTGTACTGGGTGCCCGATTGGATCCTTTCTTCAAGTGTGCCCTTATTGAGATTTAGAGGAAATCAAGGTTTGAAAGCGTACCCTATTTTGAGACACACGCACATCGGGAGTTGGACCCTAAGACCTCTTTGAACAAAGTATTTTCAATGGTGAACAGATGAGGGAATGGCGTCTGCCTATTTTACGGGTTTCGAGCTCAAACGAGCGAACGCCAAACATGATTGTCCTTTATTTGGGGATGCCATATCCCAGGTTTTGGAATATTTGTGCACTTGCAGATGGAGCTGCTTTCATATCTTAAGGGCAGAGCATGTATATGATTTGAGAGACTGCACAACACAGAGACACACTATACTTGGCTGTATCAACTTGGCAAATTCCAAAAAAATGCGGAGATCTGCTTTGTGCTTTCCCTTTTTTGTCTCATGCGAAGACGGCACCCCAACTTAAAGAATCTTTTGGAACTGTACATCCAGAATGTTCTTGAAGGTTTGTTTTGCTATTTCCCGTGGCAAGAGGCTAAAGAGAATTGCACCTGAATTTCTCCCCTTGCGTCGTTAAACAAAACCCGCTCGCTTCGTAGGAAGCGGCGCCTGCGGCAGCGTATGGGCAAAGCGCCCAAGCCCAGCCAAGGCGGATGGATCTGAAGACTCCCAGAGGACTGCAGTCTTCCAAAACGCTTCCATGAGTCTCCGGACCAGAAACTGTGACCCCAAATCCTGCTGGTGAAGCCCATAGATTTTTTCTTTCGTGTTCTGCTTGGGCCAAGAAGCCTGCAACTGACCTTGCGGACAATAGATGGTGATTCCTGGTTGACCTGGTTGCTTCATACTCTACCAGGGGAATCCATCTATGTTCAAGCAAAAGGACACCTATGCCCTAAATAGTTTGTTTGGATGGGCGAAACATCCTACACCAGATGGATGAAACCCTGTGAATACTGGTTGATAAATCAGCTGTAGGATTTTGTTCTTTCTTGACCCCCAAAGACCTCAAATCAGGTTGGGAGAGATCCTTTTTTTCCAACGCCAAACTTGCCTTGCTTTGTTTTTGTTGACCTTCATAGTACCTTTGCTTTGGCTCAAGCAGCAAGGGCGAGGTTTTGCTTTGGCAAAGAATCCTTCAACATGTTGTTGTTTCGTTGCACCGTTGGTTTTAAGTTAAGGCAAACGGAGAAGACCCATTTTGGGGGTTCCGCTATTGTGAGACAAACCCACATCAACTGTCAGCAAGGGTGTGTTTCAACACCTGACATCTCTTGCGGCGATTGGCTGACGGCAAGGGATCTACGGCGGAGATGCGACGCCAAGTTCAGCTGTTCCAGATGACGCTAATGCCCATGGTGGTCATCATGATGCCTAGGTGTTGAAAGCATACTGGCGTAGCCTGCGGTCGCCGTCATGGATGACGTTGCCTGTATTTAGACTGTACCGCTGCAACTTTTTTTCCGATGTTTTTTTCTCTGGGGGCTTGGGCTTTCATAGACCTCAAGTGAACTCCGATGAGCTCTGGTCAAGCAAGAGACATCGCAGAAATCCCCAAGTGGCTTCAATGTCCATGGTGGGGAGGAGCTTTTCACCAGCTTTCGCCGTGAGTTTCCGGACTTACTCTTTAAGACCATGCCGGGCCACCGATAGCTTGGACCTTGCTTTGGTCAATCCACCCAGGAAACAATTCCCAAGTCCAAAGCTTCACTTGCATTTATGTGGGTTGTTTCGTTACGGTTGGTCCTGTTCATGCCTAGTCGTTTAGTGGGCGGCTGCAACAAGCATATCATATCAAGGTCCCTGTTGAACTTTTCTGCATGTTTGTCACAGCTTGCCCACTCAAATTGGTGAAAATGATATGGTTGCAGATTGCATGCCAAGATTGGAAGGAAGGGTGTGTCTTCCATTCTGGTGGCACCCCCACGTTTTCCTTTTGGCTCTCCTTTAACACCAAACAAGGGCTCCCAACTAAAAACAACGTCGATGCACGCGAAAAAGCCGCAGACTCTCGGCCCGCAGGCCGGAAACTGCGGGAGTACTTGGATCGGGCCTTTGCGGAGGAGGAGTCTTCGCCCAGAGTTCTGCTTGGTTTGAAAGGGAAGGCGGGGAAACCGAAATCCACATGTTTGGTTTCCACAATTTTCTATGACGCACCAAGACAGGGTGTGCGACTCTTGGATTGCAACGGAGTTTTTGTTTGTTCCTCGGGGTTTCCGAAATTTTCTATGACACACCTAAATGGGTGTGCCTGTTCGCGAGTTGTCAAAAGGATGGCCCTTTTTTCGACCTTGCCGCATGTGCCGCCTTTGAAAGATACTTTGTTCGCCAGATGAAACAGTTGATTCCCTGGACGGACAACAATCATGCACCAGCTGGTAGGAGGTTTGTCCCTGTATCACAAGGTTTCCATAATGGGAAAACAATGCCCGACGAGAACGACTGAATGCCCATCTTGTGTGCATGCGATGGTGTTGAGAAAAGTGATCCGGCACGACTAGACTGTGTCCACTGCACAGAAGAAGAAGTAGCCGGCAGCCCGCCGAAAAACGTCATGGGGAGTGAGCGCGGCCTGGATGACTTGAGCCTGGCGGATGTGTGGAAAATGGTCGTGAAGGGTGAGAAGTACGCCAAGTTCTTTGCGGAGCTCGCAGCCACTCAACTCTCCTGACCCGGACTACAGGATTGGCGTGGGCTTGTCCCTGCTGGCAGACCTTTGTCCGCCGCGGACCCGGCGAAGAAGAGTGTCTTAGGGTTTCGGGTGGGGGTATCCAGATGAGCCAGAATCAAAGCCAGGCCAGGATAGATAATCCCAACCAAATTTGTTTTGTGTTTGCCGTTGTTATTCTTCCAAGTCTTTTTGGGTTTGGCGAGCTCACATCACGATGATGGCCTTTACTTTGGCACTTATTTCAGTCGCTGGACTTGTTGTACAATTTGCTGTTTCTGTGTACGACTTTAGGTCCAGTAGTAGATGTTGATTCTGACTCTGAAGATTGGGTGTCTCCGTTCGCGGACCTTTTCTTTTTCTTTGATGTTGAGGTACATATAGATATTAAAAACAAAAATGTATGTGTTTCACGTAAACATATGAATCGTCAGACAGAGTCGCATATGTGTTTTGGTGTGAACGGGCGTGGGTCAGAAATGGAGGTGCAGCTCCGCCCAGGGCTGGCGAGCTTGAGCCCTACCCGGACAAACCCATGGAGCTGCCGTTGTTTTTATTGGGAATCGCTACGTCGTTTTCTTGTTTTTGCGTGCAAACGGCATCAGGTCTGGGAAGAACCAGGGATCCAGTATTTCTTGCGTTCGGGGCTTTGGTTGCACTTGCAGATCAAAGGTGGGCTATCAACCCGTGTTTCACTTTTCACCCACCGGACCGCAGGTCTGGTTTGGCTTCGGCTGGCAGGGGATTTCTTCTGCAGGTAGCGATTTTACGCGAATCCTGGTCCAAATGGGAGCGTATGTTTAGGGGAGTTGTTTTTTTAGACGACCCCCACCCTAAAATGATGGATTTCCTTCCGCTTTCCTTTTAGAATAACCCCAAAACGGGGTACCCCAACAAGAAGACATGCCAAATGGATACTCTTATGTTGTAGAGTAGTGCAAAGTTAGATGTCGCATCATTGCTCCCACTTGCAAGATTCTTTCGTGGATGCCATTTTCAGCCTTACCTGTTTGACGGTGTGCCCAAAAAGTAGACATGGATCAAGCGCTTCTCTCTCGTTCTTTTGTCGCTGTCGATTTTTCGCTGTTTTTCAGAAAGCGACTTCCAGGAACCCTGGAGGGATTGTTTTTTATTCCCTTCAACCCTCAAATGGGGGGTTATTTTTTCCAAGGAAAGTTATATTCGAGGAGTTTGGATTTTGTGTTGCTTCCCCTTCCACCCTGGACTGGAGTGTTTTTTGCTTTACCCATTTTCCATGTCACAATCAAAACCCAGGTGGATGAAGGTTAGCAAGGGGCAATCCCAACCATAAATGGTTGCGGCCGCCATCTGATTCCTTTACATGGTTGTTTTACGGGTTTTGATTATGTCTCATGTGGGTATGGATCAAAATTAAACCATCAACCCCCGAGGAGATCCCAGGGGATGCGAGTGGAGAGTTCCTCGCGAAGGCGCTTCGGTATCTCATTGGACCCAAGTTGCTTCGCGGCTTGACTCCAGAGGTGTGCTTTTTGCTTGGGTTGGATATAGCAACCAGAGGGCGATTCCTGGTTGACCTGGCATCATCTACCAGGGAAATCCATATATTTGCCAAAATGGACACCTATGGCTTTGACTTTTTTGCAATTGGGGGTTATCAATCTTCCGTGAAAGGCCCCCAGTTTTGATCATGGGCAACTTTTCCATGTGGGACATATCAAATCTTTGTTTTGTGGTTTTCCAAACAATAGTCATCCCATGTTTACCGGGCCTTTAGATCAACCCCCATTTGCTTTTCCCAGCTGAAAGCTATGGAGCCTTTGCCCAGAGAAGCTCAGGAGTGGGTCCAGGGGTTGCTGTTGGGGATACCACCTGAGCTTATCTGGTTTTCCATAGCAGGGCTTCAAAATAGGGGACCCAACATGTTAGCGGATGTATCGGTTTCAAAATAGGGAACCCAACATGTTGGTTCATTTCTCGGCTTCGAAATTGGGAACGCAACCTGGTTCATGTATCGGTGTCCAATCGTTTGGAAACCGGCCCAACGTGTTGGTGAGCATTTTCTCTTGGCCTCCCTTGCAGGCAATTTTTCAGTGTCAAGCATAGGGGTGTGTGCTTGCTGGCTGAGATGCAAGGGGTTGACCTCAAGATCAACATCGGTTTTATCCAGGCCAAGTTTTTTGAGCCACTTTCGCACGTCGCATTTTATCAGCTGGATTTTGTGCGGTGGCAACATGGACCACAGTTTTTTGGGGGGTTGTTGGACTACCCACTTTGTCGGTGCATTTTAGTCGGGGGCGGGGGCGCTCGTTACCGAAAATCGCCCCGAGCATTCGTACCACGGCGTCGGTCACAGAGTGCCTGGCCCCACTGCTGTTCTTTGCATGCTTTAAAGAGATAACGAGCAGCAACAGCTTTCTGAACCCATGGACCCCGCGACCAAGCGCCAGTGACCGAAAATCGCCCCAAGCCCCAGAAAGGGTCCTTGAAGGGACAACGATGCTCACGTGGCTAAAATGTTTTTGTGTGCCAACGAAGTGCATTTTATCTGGATAAAATGTGAACCTTGCCTTTTTTCTTGCTAGCGTATGGGTGTCCGCAATTGAAGTGTGGAGCCAACCCAGAACACGAGTACAGACCCCCTATATCAAACAAACTGCGTCAAAGGCAAAACAAAACGCGCGCACGCTGATGCAGGTTGCCATGTTGCGTCGCGCGCGCCGCGCAAAGCTGGCCGCAACATGCCGCATCAATTGAAGCACAGAAGGGGTAAATCATGTTTGTGCAAATCAGGCGCGCTGTATCAACCTGTTGCATGCTGCCCAAAATTGCCGCAATCTGTCGCAGGCATTACATCTTTTGTTACATACTACCCTCTAAAAAAACAAACAAACTGAAGTTTCTGTAGAGACACCCGAAGCGATGGGCAGGTGCAAGAGCGGCGCATCCAGGAGAGAGCCCGGGCAGAGGAGCGTGCGCAGGCGCAGCTCGAGAAAGCCAGTGCCATGGTATTTGGGTGTTTCATTTGCATTTGGGTGTTTCATTTTCTTGGTGTTTGTGGTTTCTGTTGGGCTTTGTGTGTGTTTTAGACTCTCCTCACACATATAAATGTGTGGATTATCATATAGATACATAAATATCTTTTGCTGGGACCTCAATGAGAAGCAAAGTTTCTAGATGCTATTTGCCAGCGCTTAGGTCAAATTAGTGCTTAGTTTGGATTCAAAACACACACTAGCTGCCTCAGCTTGAAACTCAACACGTTGCAGCCACCCAAGCATTGCAGCCTGTCTGCGCAATTCCTCAAGTTTGGGGCCATACCACAAAACCAACTGAAGTCACTTGGGGACCAAAGAATTTGTTAAGTGGGGTGCGCCCTGGCTCATCTTCAACCTCTCCATCGTCGTCTTCGCCGCCATCCAGCCTGGCAAGTCTGGGCACTCAGAATGCAGATTGGAATGCGAAGGGGGCTGGGTTCCACTTGCCTTGAGTTAGTCAATGTTTCTTAAGAGGAGGAGCCACATTGAGCTGTGAGCTGGACCTACCCCTGAAATCCGGAGATGCTGGTCAACTCTCCCTTTTTCATAGCGATTTGATTTTACAATGGCAAGGGGTGAACAACAGGATTTATATTGACTGGTCAGCTAGTGAGTTGTAGGAGTTCCCCACGTGGCCCTTCACTGAACAATTGTCACACAAGTTCCTCAGGCCCTGTGGGCCGTGTATCATTGAAGTTCCCAAGAAGGTCCAAAGCACCTTTGCAAACGTAATCGCCTCCTAGAGCTGGGTGCGGGCATGCTGTGTCGTGTCAGCAGTGTCATGTCATTCCACATCCCCTGACGATGATGTTGGCATCAACAACGTTTCGCGAGAGTACAAAGGCATACAAAGGCTGCCTGAGTTGTCAAGCGACGCAACTGTCAAGCGACGACGCAACTGTCAAGCGACGCAACTGTCAAGTCAAGCGACGCAACTGTCAAGTCAAGCGACGCAACTGTCAAGCGATGCAACTGTCAAGCGATGCAACTGTCAAGCGATGCAACTGTCAAGCGATGCAACTGTTTTTGGTATAAAGGTTGTTCTGTGGGTGATTGGTTGGTTGGAGCAAACATTCGTGCGTGACAGACTGATTTAGCAAGCACTTTCGCTTTTCCATCCACGTCAACACGAGCGCCAAAAAATCTGAGGCCAGGAGAAGCCGGGAGAAGCAGAGGCATGCCTGGGCGGCTGGGCGGTGGCGGCGTTGGTTGGGGCGGATTGGGTTGGTCGGGCCCGGCCAGGAAGTATGAAAACCATAGGCCGAAACGGCCATGAAGTAAGCAAATAGCTCTAAAGCATACTTGTTAGGTCAACATCTTGCATTGCACACGGGCTGGAAGTATCCTTAAGCGTGTTTGGCCGGCAACAGAATTTCTTTCCTTTTGTGTTGTCTGTTCACTACACAGTTTGAATTTTGAATACTGCTTGGTCAGGTCTCAACAAGTAATCATTCGTCAAAATGTTGAGGCCTAACTGCAACCCAAGTTTCAATGCTGAGACTAGAAGCTTCATGGCAAACGCTTTTCGCAAGAAACAGTGTAAAAAGGAGCACAGTTGCCCTCGTGTTGTTGTTTGGCCTTAGGCAAGGAAATGAATGTTTCTTCCAAGCTGCCAGGGCCCAGAGGTCACTGACCACGCTTCTTGAGCTCGCGGTCGATATCCGCACGCGCACTCTTCAGCTTCTTTGTTGGTACCTTTGACCAATTGCAGCTGGGGCCATCAAGCTCATCAATGGCCTTTTTGACGTCCTTCAAGGTCAGTTGGCCGTAACGCAGGTGCACTTTTACGCTCCCAGGCGCATGTCTCCTTAGTTTTCAGCGTGTTTGCCGCAGGGGTTCAATTTCAGACAGCCAAGCTTTTGTCACGACTGCCTGTGTAAGGTACTTAGTGGTTGCCTGAGTGCTTTCACGCAAGCCTTAGGCATCCAACGGAATTCACACACCTTAAAAGCAGCAGTTGGTAGGCATTCGCGCTATGCTGAACTGCAAATGGCTTGTTTGATTTCCATAGAAACACATGTTTTGCAATGGCGCCATTCAGTAAAAGACAGACTCACTGCTACTTGTGTAAGCCACGTTTTCCACCACATAATTTTGACACAGCAAGTAAGGCCAAGCCGCGCGTATTTCATGGACATGGCTGTGCTTAAGCCCTCGCCCATCAATTCGGTGATGAGAGTTGCTCGGCCAGAATGTGGTCGGAGTTTGGCGTATTCCTGTTGCCAATTCTTGTTGTTGTCTTTGAGGTATTGCAGGAACAAAGGGGCCTGCTTCTTCACATGGCTGTAGACAGCATGATAGTGGACGTGGTCATTCTTGGCGTTCTTGCGGCTGGTAAAGAGGAAGCCACTCTCTGGCACCTCGTAGGTGTCCTCTACCTCGATGACTTTCCTTTTCTTACTGCCTGATTTGATCGTCCCATGCTTGTGCCCTTTTTCGCGCTTGACGGTGTAGCCATTCTTCAGGAGGGACTTCAGCCAGTGGACGTGTTTCTTGCGAACATAAACATCACCTGGTGATTTTTTGCCTCCTGGCGTGTCACCAGTGACACTGATTTTTGGGACCTCCGCTTTCATTGCAATATCCTCACGCTTCAGGGTCAAGGCCTCTGAGCAGCGAAGCCCAAAGTTGCCTGTGAAACTTAATATTACAGCCATGCGTGCTCCACAATTGCGTCCGATGAATTTAATCCAATCTTCCCATGCTCGTCTACTCAGAGCAGGGGCTTGGCCCAACTTCTCTTTCCTCTTCTTTTGAGGAGGCATGGATTCCAACTTGAGCCAGCATGCGACCTCACTGCAAACAAAGTTGAGGCCCAGTTTTAGATCTTACACAGTCTCACATCGATTTTGTAATACAGACCCCTATGATTCCTTCCAATGGATCCTCCATGGGCTGGCATGGGGTCAGTGATTGAGCCGTTCACCAAAAGCACTTATAGATGGATGCACCCCTTAGTTGTTCAGCACCCTTTGTTGTTCAGCGCCCTTTCTACAGACCAAGGGTTTCTCTAACGGTCTTTGGCAAAGTGGACTCCATCATAGTCTGCAAAAACACTAGGTGGGCAGGGGAACCAAGTGAGGTCAAGCGATTGACTTTCAACGTCAAGCGTATGACAAAACCATGCCAGTGATCATGTCAAGCGCCATGTTCACGTCAGGCAGCTGGGGGGCGGTCTTGGGCAGGCCAGCGACTCAGTGAGGCCGGCAGCTTGATTGGCGCATGGTGTCAAACACTGTTCCAGGATCAGCAATGCAGTGTTTGTGAGTTTTCACATGCTCACAGGAAAAGGGTGTTGCAGAAACTATTTTTCTCATGACGCAAAATCCCACTCTTCATCAGCTTTCTAAACTTCAATGGTTGACCACCTTCTTGCGTTTTAGGTTTCAGCCAAGTTGGTTTGGTGCACATTCTGGCAAATCAATGTGGTCTACAAACAGGCTCAAACAAGTGGCTCGACTCATGTTTTTTAGAAACTCAATAGGGTACACTTTATCTGCAATCTGTCCGCATGGGGGGGGTAGGGCGTACCAGAAAATCAAAGAGTTTGGACATTGCCTGACGTTGCCTGTGCGAGCCTAGGCCAGAAGCTTCGCGAGCTGAGCTTCTTCATCTGGAAGGCTTTCGTCTCAGACAGCTGCCTGCACAGGTGACTGGCCACATTGCATTGGGGGCACGTGCATGACTGGTGGCATCGTTTGACAAAAGTTGGTTCCCTGATCCCCTGTTGCAAGAATGGTTCCCCTCAATTTTAGAACTGGGTTTCGACTAGTCTTAAGCATGGAAGTGTTAACTGTTGGCATGGTTGGTGACACCGTGATTTCTGCTGCATTTCGGATCTGACACAGAGCTGGAGATGTGGTCGCTTGACGATGTATCGCTTGACGATTTATCACTTGACATGCAGGCATTGGCAATGATGTTGAGGACAGTTTGCTGCAGTTCAAGACTAAACCACCAGGTGACCACTGCCACAGATCTAATTGCAATTCCCCAGAAGCCCTGAATCATGAAGCGCCCTGCTGCGGAGATGGAGCACCCGCAGGAGCGCCCGCGGGAGCGCCCGTTCGTCAGAGCTGCGCGTGACGACTTCTTCGCGGCTTTTCAGAGCGAGGCTCGGTGATCATGTTTTTTCCAAATGATGTCCACCAAAAGGGGATCTAATGTCAATTCCATGCCCATATTTGTCTTAAACATTGCATTTTCAAAGACCGCCTCCTTTGGCTTGCAGGGATGGTCAACCTCGCAACAAATAGGGAATTCAGAACCTGCGTTTTTTGTGTGTTTGCACCCCCTCAGGATGCACCGTACAAGTTCCCGCAGAATCGCGATGGCAGCGTCAAGCGACCTCGCGGCGTTCGCAGAGTGGAGAACTTCGAAGATGCAGTGCCGGAGCAGAAGGCGCAGATGCTCCTGCAACTTATCCTTGGAATAACATTTTTTTGGGCGTGCTTGCTTTGAAAGAAAGTTCAAGACACTTTAAAATTACTCCATTTCTTTAGGCATCTTGGATGAGGCAAGTGTTGCGTTTGTGTGAAAACTCCCTGTCGCCCCTTCCGACTAACAGGTACATGTTGGAGAAATCAGACTACCCGGATTTCGAGGGCGTGGCCGAGGTGGACGAGCTTCAGACTTTGGCTGCTCGCCTGCGAAGCTCTGTGAAGGAGGTGGTGGAGGCGCTGGCTGCGATCTGCAAGTGGGACCCGCAGGAGGGCGCCGACGCTGCCGACGCTTCCCCAGATAAAGCTTTGTTTTTTTTTGGTTTGGGGGGGTCTCTTTTGTTTTCCACTAACTGCTTGTTCAAATCCTCCTCCCCAACGATTAGCGGTTTGCGGATTACGCGGCTTTAGATTACAGATTACGGGTTGCACGGATTTTCGATGCTTCAGCAGAAGTTTGAAGGCTGTGGCCCACAGTTTGCAGCACGGGTTACGGATTAAGTA